TCACAACAGACACTGCCAAAATCTAAACCATTATTAGTAACTACTTCGAAAACCTGTACTCTAATAATTTGGAAAATCCATAAGAAATGGATACGAATTGATAAAGAAAATGTGGTATTTATATAAAACGGAGCACTACTCAGCCATAAAGAAAGATAAATCTGAGTCATCCGTAGGACAGTGGATGCACTTTGAGATCCTATCAGTAAAATACGTCAGACACAGAAGATTAAATATTGCACGGGTTCTCTTATAAGAGAAACCCAAAATATAAATAAAAAACAAAATAAAAGATAAATAATAGGAACCAGGCAGACAGATCTTTAGCAAAAGGGAAGGGGATTAAGAGATGGAAGGATGAGGAAAGGGAAGGGGGTGAAGGGAGAATTAAGATGTGTGCCGTCCACGCACCGCCTCTGCATGAGGAGTGTAAGCATTCCGTACTGCAAACATGCACCAATGAAGAATATTAAAAAAATAAAACAGCCTCAAGTGCATGAGAGCAAACATCCCCTTACAAAAAAAGAAACCAAAAATGGCTAAAGAAAGCACAGAATCTCTAACAAGTAACCGTGGCCAGGAGACAGGACGCGGGGAACAGGGACAATAAGAGGAAGTGAGAGCAAATAAGCTCCGGCAGAGGAAGGCCCTGCACAGACGGAGGGGACAGGGGCTCGTCCTGCACAGTGCCAGCTTCTTGGAGGCTTTGTTCTTGTTTTTTTGGACCAGGGATCAAACTCATGACCTCGCCCTTGCCAGGCAGGAGACTTTGTTCTTGTTTGTATCAATCTTCCGCACACATGCACTAAGGGCTAAACCGTTCCTCCGAGTTCATCAGGAGCCCAGCAGTCCCTTCCTCTTCCCCTGTGCTTCCTACTGCTCAGTGACACAGGCCCCCGGAGCTGTCACTTAGCTTCCCCCATCACAGCAGGTGAGAGCATCCATCCCCTCTCCACACTGTCCCTACAAAGGGTATCATGATTCCAATTAAAGCCGCAGTCCGTGTTTACACACATCAGCATGGCTGTAGAGAGACTATTCGGGGCTGAGCCTTTGAGCACATTATAATCATTTTTCTTTCCCCACACAACAGTTTATTTTCCGGGGACTAATAACAGCCTGTGTCTTCATTTGCTTTGTTTTCTAGGTACTTATCACTAATCCAGCCCAACTCTGCCAGCTGTCTCCATCTCCTCTGCAGATGTTCCAGAGCATCAGGTGTCGCCTTATAATTTCATCTTCTCCTCGCAGAAATCCTCCAAGGAGTCTGCGCGTGGCTCCTGCCTGGAATGTTGGCCTCATGGGGCCTGGCTGCCCCTTCCCAGGCTGGACACCCCGTGTCACCAGTCACCTCTTTACAGCTCAGGAGGGGAAACTGCGGGGGTGGGGGTGCTGAGACGCCTGAGATGCCCATTCTACCTCCCGTGCTTGAGTGTGGAGCTTGAGACTCATGCTTCTCTTTACAATTTGAAAAGCAAGGCTCTCTGATGTTCTAGCGTTGGGGGCTGCTCCTTCCACAGCACAAGGCTCTTCTGCCTCTCGGCCTATGACCACTGTGTGCGGTCTGTTTTATTTCTTCCCTGGGAGCTGCCCAGTCTTCTGTTCAGGTTCTGAAATCTTGCAGCAGTGCGCCTTGGAATGGGCATGCAGCTAACGTTTTTTTTTTTTTTTTTTTTTTTTTTTTTTTTGAGACAAGGTCTCGCTATGTAGCTCAAACTGGCCTTGAACTATGTATCCAGGCTGACCTCAAATTCCACAGTGATTCTCCTGCCTCAGCCTCCCAAGTAAGTGCAGGGATTAGCAGCTAACTCTCATTGCCAGATTCTAGCAGGGACACGTGCACCTTCCAGTCAATCCTCTGCTTGCCCAATTCCTCACAGTGTGATTGAAGCACAAGCTTCCCTTGCTGCCCAGCTCTTTAGTTTTTAAAAATTTATTACCATTATTATTATTATTATTATTATTGGTTTTTTGAAACAAGCTCTATGTAGTTCAGGATGGCCTTAAATTCACTATGTACCCCAGGCTGGCCTCAAACTTATGCAGATCCTCCTGCCTCAGCCTCCTGAGTGCTGGGATTATAGGTGTGTGCCCTCCAAACTTGCTCTGCCCAGCCTTTTAAAACCCAAATTGAGAGGTGAAAAGCCCAGATGAGGGCAGGTAACCTGTGTTTTCATCCTTCCTGCTGGCCACTGGGTGGCCCTTCAGAAAAGTTTAAGTCCTAGGACATTCTGTGGGTGATTTTGCACCATTTTTCTCTATTCTTTCTTGCTAAAATTTAGTTTACCTGCTGACTTCCTGATCTGATTCTTTTTTTCTCTCTCACTTCCCAACTCTTTGCTATTCTGTTCCACTTTCTGAGAACATTCCACCTTCAGAGCACCCAGTTGCCTGCTTCTCACCTCCCTGGCCTCCAGCTGGCACACTCCCTGCCCCTCTGGGGGTGGCCTGGCCTGGCTCTTCCACTTCCACACAGGCTTTCTTCACATGGCCCCATGTTCACATTTAAGGCACAGGGGATAACAGGACGTGATGCTCTGGACCCTGGGAGGGGTTATGAATTATGATCCCCCGTGTTGTTATGTTTAGGTCTCTTCTCTTGGGCTCCTCAGACCCCCAAAGCCTGCAGTCTGCACTCGTACGGGGGCTGAGGGGCTCTGTACTGAATCCTTTTGGTCTGAACACCCCTGTCGCCACCCCTACTCTCAGCAGTGCTTGGCGTTTCCCATTATGGTCTGAAATATGTTGAAAGTCTCTAAATAGTTAGAGAAACCTCCTCCTTGGTTAGCAGCAGGAGGCAGTAGCTGAGAGGGCCAGTTATCTCCAGGCACATCTGTGGCCAGGGACTGGAAAGCCACCAGCCCCAAATGCAGCCACCAAGCAGGTGTGAAACTTAGCTACTTTCTAAGAGGAAGAATTTATAACTGGAAACTAAAGATGTGAAGTGTTTTAACATGACAGGCCAGCTGCCTTTGTTTCACTGTTACCAACAGCCAGTCTCTCACCCACTGCACCTTCAGCCCTGGACTCTAGGAGAGAACCAGCCTTGATACTACTGCGTTTATGACAACGAACTGCATGCACACAGTCAGCCACACAACAGCTTCTCATCTGTCCTCCAACCTCGGACTGCAGTTCCCTAGAGTTCCCACCTGGACCTAACAAATGTCTAGAATTCTGCAAGTCTGAAACTCACCTGTGCTTTTACCCTCCCCTCCGCACCCCAACATACCACAGAGCAGGTCCCAGCGCTGCCTACTGTGCCCACTGGAGGTCACCTGCCCTTCCTTCAGCACTTGCTACAAAGGACCACCACCCAAGGGCCCCCCGCTTTTGTCCTCTTCCGCTCCTCGGCCTTTTGTGTTCTCGTGGGCACTGTCCTAAACCCACAGCCACAATGCTACCTGCTCAAGGCAGTCTGCATCTCCAGACCCTAAACCACCTTTTCCCTCCCAGCCAAAACATAGATTTAACAGCCAAATCTCCTCCTCACACCTCAACTGTTCACATCCACAAACATAAAACTCAGACTCCCCAGTGCAGCATGCCAGGCCCCTCACAGAAATCTATCTGTCTTTCTGCCCAACCCCAATTCGACATCTTCTAAGCATGACTGTCCTCACCATCGCCTCCCCTTGGAATGTCTTCCCCAAACACCACTAACCCTTGACGACCCAATTTCCACTCCCTTCCCATGGTGGAAAACTCCCAGAGCCAGGCTTAGCTGCTCCCTCTCTCCACACTTTGCTAACACCTAGCTTGCCCATGCCAGCTTCGAGCTGCCCAGGGCAAGGCTCACACATTTCCAGCATCCAGCACAAACTAGATCTTGTGCACAATTAGAGGCCCAACAACGTCTGCAGAACCCATGAAGCAGGTGGACACCAGTGACTCTGAACCCTTTCTTCAGGCCTGCAAACACGGCCCAGCGCCCTACCAACTCACATGCAGGGAAACTAAGCACCTCACCATTCCACCCAGTTGACAGCAGTGGACTTCACGTTATTTCCGAATTATCCTGCTTTTCTTCTGTCACCCAGACACTAGCTCACATTCTCAACGCCGACCTCACCTAGAAAGGCTAAAGCATGCCCTGCAGTGAGGGCAGGGAGGGGACCAATAGCCCTGCTATAGACTGCATCCCCTCTGCCTGCGGTCACATTCTTATTCATCCTGGCCTTCCGACTCTCTCCTGCACAGGATTATAAAATAAATAATTTAATAATCATGAAAACACTACAGCTTGTTGTGCTCCCGCCAGACGGAACCTCTGCCTGAGCCAAGGGTTTGCCAGCCATGTCTTGGTGGCCATGAGCCCAACAGAGAAGACAGATCCCACTGTTAGCCACTAATGCAAGGCTTCCATTTGCCCAAGAGGCAGGATGCTGCTTTGAGAGCACAGGGTCATTTAAGTGATGCTTTTCCATGCCCTGCCTGTGAGCGGGCGTCCGCACAGCACAACTCCCAGCTGTGGTCAGCAAAGGGGAAGCCGCCGTCAGGGGCAGAAAGATGCCCAGCAGACCCGGACGAGGTGTGGTACCCGAGCAGTCCCTGCTTAGGAACAGTCCTGGCCCCCAGCCGAAAGCCGACCGCGGACTGTGAGCCTCCCGTAAGGGATCTCAGGGACACTGCAGCATCTTTGTTGTACCGGAAGCATTACCGATTTTGCTGCATGAGGACCAATTAGCCGAAGAATAAAACAGACACCAACCACCGAGCAAGGCCGGGTGCCCGGTCTGTCACAGAGGCGATCGAAGGTGATGGCGGCTGCACACTCACTTTCACGCACCCTGCTGGCCCCCCGCTCCCCGCGAGGAGGGTGCTCAGAGAGGGTGTGTGCCACGCCAAGGTCACACAGCAGACTAGAGTGGGGCTCCGAACCCAGAGCCACACTGGACCTGCCCATCCCGCGCTAGGGGACCGACCCGCGCTCCTCCGCCCGGCTGATACACCCGTGCCTGCTCGTGAAACCACAGCACGCCCCTCGCCTCTGGCCTTACCCGCGTCCTCGCGCCGAATCCTGGCCGCAGCCAGCACCAAGCCGCCTTGCAACTAAATGACCCTCCCGAAACGTAGTCCTGCCCACAGCGCTAGAGCCCCGCCCCCACAATCTTCTCGCGAGATGTCGTCACGGAGGCAAAGACACCTAGTGGCCGTCCTCGCCGTGCGCCTGCGTTCTCTGAACGCTGCCCCGCCCCGGCCAGTCGCTGCCATGTGGCGCTGTATTTACTGCTACAGACTGGCCACGCCCACCAACCCCAGGAGCCCCTCCTCTTCAGCAGCAGCCAATCCAGGGCGACTAACCTTCCAACATTGAGGGTGGGGCAGGGGCAAGGGCGGGGCAAGGGCCGGCAGGGCGGGACCTACTCTGTAGTCAGATTTGAGTCTGGTTTCTCCTGACTATAGTCCTACTACCTGGCTCCTTTCTCCCCTCCATCATGTGGAGGTTGTTGCCAGGGTCTATACTGAGCTCCGTTTCCAACCCTTACTTATTTTTATTTTTGAATTTTGAGACATCTCTCTAAGTTTCCCAGGCTAGGCTTGAATTTGCGATCCTTCTGCTTTAGCCTTCCAGAGCGCTGGGACTATAGGTGCATCCGATTGAATCTGGCTCCCTCTTTAATGATGTTCCTGCTGTTTGACGGATCGATTATGAGTCTCAACTCATTGGGAGAGGACTGTGATGCTCATCAGCTAGGGCTTTAGATTCTTTGTGTAATCTTGGCAAGTGAATTAGCCTGTCTGAGATCGTCTCCGAATCCACAAAAAAGTAAAGAAATTACCTTGTGAGGAGTCTCTGGGACTCAAATGAGTTGTGTGCAAAGTGCCAAAGCGAGGTGTCTAATACATACGAAGCCTACACTAGTCATTCTTGGCATCTACTTTTTAAAATTGTGATAAAACATACATCACATTCAAGTTACATGTGTGCGTGCGTGTGTGCATTACTGGGACTTGAACTCAGACCCTTCACATTGAGCTGCATCTTCTTTTTTGTTTTGAAAAAGGATCTTGCTAAGTTGCCCACTTTTGGCTCAGACTTGTGATTCTCCTGTCTCAGCTTCGCAGCATGCTGGGGCTATAGGTGTGTGCCACCATATGGTAATAAGCCATTTTCCATATTACTATCTACTTTAATGGTAGAATAAGCTTTAAATCTGACAGTACCAAAGGCTAGTGGGGTTGCAAAGCAGCTGCATTGCCTACATTGCTGGTAGGAATGCAAAAGAGTGCAGTCCATCTGGAAACATCGACTGATTCTTAGAAACATCTTCCTGACAACGCAGCAGGCTCAGTTCTAGGTCTTGAGCTAAGGAAATGAAATTTATATTCCCACAAAAGCTGGTATTTGGATGTTTTCATAGCTTTGCTCAGTTTCCCTAACTGGAGACAACCCAGATGTCTGCACCCAGTGAAGGAGTAAACTGTGGCACAACCACACAATGGGATAGTACTCAGCCATAAAGAAACAAACTCAGTGCATACAACAACCTTGTGCTGACTGGAAATGAAGCCAGTGTCAAAGCTGTCTGTGAGTGTATTAGTAACTTCCATGGAGGAGGAGCCCTATATGCACAATTTAAAGAAGGAGAGGCTTATTTTGGCTCACAGTTTCAGATTTCAGTCCATGGTCAGATGACTCAGAAACACTGTAAAAAGGCATGGTGGGGGGAAGGCACCCAGGTGGTGGCAGCCAGGAAACAGAGTGCGAAGAGAAGAAGAGAAAAACCAGAGCAGAGTCCCCAAGGTTTTGTCCCCAGTGAGCATCTTCATCCAACTAAACCCTACCTCTTAAGTCTCCATCACCTCCCAATAATACCATACTCAAAATATGACCTCAGCTGTGTATTAAGCTACTGATGAAGTTAGAGCCTTTGTGATCCAATAATTTCTGGAAATACACAGTATTCTTTACTAATTCTCTGGGTGTTTCTCAATTTAGCCAAGTTGATGAGCACAATTAACCAACCCAGCATTTGAGGACATTTAGGGGATATCTTTAGAAAAGACAAAACACCAGGACAGATACCTTTTGGGCTAGGGCTGGGGCTAGGGAAGAAGTGATTTTTTTTCTTTTCTAAGACAGAGTCTTGCTATGTAGTTCAGGCTGGCCTTAAAACTCACTTATGTAACCCAGGCTGGCCTCAAACTCATGGTGATCCTCCTGCCTCAGCCCAAGTACGGAGATTCCAGGCATGTACCACCCCACCCAGCTTGGGAAAAAATGATTTTTGAAGAGTGTGAGAAAATTGAGGGGGATGCACAGTTCTGTTTCTTGATCATGGTGGGTGGAGTAGTTACACAGGCATATGCTTTTCTCCAAGCTCATAAGGCTGTGAGTTCAAAGGATACATTTTACCATATATAAATTACATTTTTGTTTTTAAAAAAATCTCTTAAAATACCATTTCCCCTAGCTGGAGTTCTGTTAGTTACTAAGAAATGGCAAAATAAAATACAAAATAAAAAAGATTAAATGAAATCACGTCGAGGGTATGCATTTGAAGGTACTCAAGGCTGAGAATTCCTAAATTGTTCCTTTCTTCAAGCTCACACTGCAAATGCTTCATTGGAAATTTGAACAAAGCTCTGAAAGACAGCTAGTGAGTGCGGGAAAGAGGGCCTTGGAAATCAGGACCTACATGTTGATCATGACCACCCCTTACTGGGATGGGGGTGGAGTGAAGTCATTGTGTAATGAGTGCAGACACATTTTTGAGATGAAGAAAATGTCCTGCAACATGTTGAGGTCCTGGTTATGCAACATTGTAAATGGACTAAATGCAGGGGAATGCTTCACTCTGAAATGGTTACTTTTATGTTAATTTTACCTCCATTGTAAATAACTGGATTGTGAAACTAAAAACAAGTGGAAACATTTTTACTTTTTCTCTCTGAAGTAGCTACACAGTTTCCACAGGCTATAGATAAGGAAGGAGCTAAAAGAAGTCAATCAACTAGGGAAGGTACACTGCTGTGTAAATGACAGAGCCAGGACCAGAATTCAAATTTTGGGCTTCAGAGCCAAGACTATACAGCAGCCAAGTGGCTTCCTTGGCTGGGAGAGGATCTGTTGAGTGGTCAGGGCCAGCTCTGCTCTAGAGGTGCCCACAGTGGTGAAGGTCTTCTCCTCTATGCTCCTTCAAGTCATGCTCAGCTGGCCCCACTGCCTCACCTTTGGTGCTCCCCACTTACCCCCTGTACAAGGTGTGACCTCCCCCAGGCTGACCACAGCTTGGCTCAGCCAGCACCCACCTCTCACATGCAAGGCAAGTGCTCTCCTACTGAGCTGCACCCCTAGCTTCTGTTTGTATTTCAGTTAAAAGTATTTCCAGGTCCCCCACCAGCTACAACAGCTTCTGCTTTCATAACCAGGATTGCAGCAGAGGAACACTAGAAATCACCATGACTTGGGCAAGAGAGAGACTAAGAATTCTCAGTTTCTGCTGACAGGGACAACTTGAAGACCCTAACAACTCCTGCGCTCCTGTTGCTATGAGCACCATTAGGGTAAAGGGGTGGTGCTGCCAATTGGAGACACCACAACCTTTCCAGGAAAGGAGAATGGGCAGAGTGCCCCACTAATGATGCACCCATTGCTCAGACTTATACAGTTCTGAACACGGCTCTGCGGTACTTGTCTCAGTGTCCTGGAGGCCCTGTGGGGTAACAGAGTGTTAGGAAGCAGGTCTGGATGCCAAGGCTACCACCCAGCAGCCAGGTGACCTTGGGCTGGTCCTCCAGCCTCTGAAAGTCTCTAAGCTTTGGCCACTGAGCCACTGCACCTCACTCCACACCCCAGTCCCACCAAACCTGCTCTGCCTCCTGCTTTACCCTGAAGGGCCCACATGCTGTGGGGCTACATTTCCAATGAAAAGGCAAGGGGACTCTGGGCCAGTCCCATGTGGTTCCCCAGGTGGGCCAAGGTGGGGTACAGCTGCACCCTGGTTGAGGGACTCTCAGAACCCTTCTATTCCATGTGCTAAGGATTAACCTGGGGGTGTGGATGGGAAGCTGGGGGCCTCCAGGAAAGAGCCTATGTACCCAAGAACTGAAAGAACACACAGAACAGTTGCAGTGGGTAAAATATTTGTGTCCTCCCAAACTCGTCTGTTGAAACAATTTCAAATTAATAGCATTCAGAGGGAGCCCCAGGGTAGTCAGGTTAGTAGGGTGTGGCCCTCACGAATGGGATTAGTGTCCCCTAAAAGCAGTGAAGACACAGCATGGAGTCAGCAGCCTGCAAGCCAGAAGCAGATCCTGCCTGAGCCCATTCAGGTCAGTACCCTGATTTCAGACCTCCCACTTCCAAGCTGAGAGAAACCAGTGTCTGCAGTCTGTAAGCCACCCAGCCATGGTATTTTCTTGTAACAGCTGAATAGACTATGCCACTAACTCACGCAAAAGCAAGGGAAGAATGAGCTAGTGTGGGATGTGGGTCTCCAGTCTTCTGTGGTAAGATGATCTGTTCTTGGAAGGAACCTCCATCTCCTGCCACTTGATCCCCACTCTCAACACCGGGGCTCACCTCCTTGCATACCTCCAAATTGGGGAGCTCACTCCCCACCTCCCACCTATGGCTGCTCAGGCTCCACAGGCCTAATGGCTGGAGTGCTGCCCCCCCACCCCCCACTGCCCCATCCAGCATCCTCCCAGAGCAGACCATGGATGAGGGTTGGTCCTGGAACAGCATCTTTAATGATGGTGACCCCAGAAAAGCATGGGCTTCCTGGGAGGGTCCATGGTCAAGGCTGGCCGTCCATGGTGCCATTCTCTGAGAGGTGAAGTGGTCCTGGGGTGGTGTGTGCGCTGCCCAGATGAGTTCCAGCCACAGCCCATCTTGCCCATCCTGGCCCCCTGTGTGCCTGCTGCGCCAGCCACCAACTACCTTGGTCTCTTAGTGGTGCCACCAAGTCGTCTGTGGGGCTTGCTGGGAGGCAGTGGGCTGTGGTGTTGGCCTCTGCTATCTGCGGACCCTGGGGCAGAAAGGAGACCTGTCTTGGGCCAGGCAGACTCAAGCAAAGCCAGCACCCCAGCGGAGACACCTGGCCTTGGACTCCACAGCTACAGGCCCTCCCTCTTCCAGCCCCTGTGAACTGGCTGACTGGGTCCTCAGGGCCTTTCCTTGCCTTCCTCTAGGTCTGGAATGGATTTAAGTGCTCTGGCGCTGCCAGGCTGTTCCTCAGGGCTCTTCTGAAGCCACAGGCACTCTCTAGTGGCTGCACCCAGCAGCTCGGCCAGATGCAATAGGACAGGGGTCTGGAAGTCAGGGGTCTCTCCAGCTCTGTCCCTGCACCCCTCCCAGGTCCTGCCTGGCCCATGACTGCACACAGGGGCTTACAGAGTATGAATCTCAGGCTTGCAGATCTGCTGCTTTCCCTCCAGCCCTGGCTTTGCCCCATTCCAAAGCCTTGTAGGGCAGGAGCTGCAGAATGGCAAAGGGCAAGCTGCAGTGACACTGACCTTGGATGTCCTGGGGCAGGAGAGGTCCCCGGCTGGGGCCTGCACTGCTCTGCCACATGGGGCTGGGAAAGGTGAAGCTGATTTCAGGAATGCGCAGCGTAGCTTCATCTACACAGCAAGACCAGAGACAGGGGAAAGTTATTTTTAGGATCACGCAATGAGTGGCAGAAAAAAATTAAAATCTATGAGTGCTGAGCTCCTTACCTAATTCCTTCAGTGGCTTCCCCCACCCCTGGAGGTTTATTTATTCTATTTCACTCGTTGATTTATCCATGCACTTGGGTTTTTGAGACAGGGTATCGCTAAGTCAGCAGGCTTGCTTCACATTCATGATCCTCCTGCCTCAGCCTCCTGAGTGCTAGGATTTCAGGCACCTGGCTAAAAGGTTATGTTTTAGGTAAACTCCTGTAGTGTTTTTTTCAGTCTCTCCCAACCCTACTCCTAGTTGATTTTTCCTTCTCCAACACCAACTAAACTTTTTTCTTCCATCCCTGCTTGCTCTCAGCTGCTCATTTCATGGCCATAAAGAGGACTTTTTGGCTTTACCAAACATCTGAAAACAGAAAGAAAGCTAGGGGCCAAGCATGGTGGCACATGCTTGTAATCTCTGCCCTTTGAAAGGCTGAGACAAGAGGATCACAAATTCAAACTCGGGCTGGGGAATTTAGCTTCAAAAAATAAAAATGACTGGGGATAAAATTCAGTTCAAAGACCCTGAGTTCAATCCCAGTACTGGTGGTGGGAGGAGAACATTTATTTATTTACCTATTTTGGTTTTTGAGACAGGGTCCTGCTATTTGTTTAGGCTGTCCTTAAACTCACTATTAGTTCAGGCCGGCATCTAACTCATGGCAATCCTCCTGCCTCAGCCTCTCAAGTTCTGGCATCACCACATCCCAGAGCATCCATATTTAAAGCCAGCAATGGGTGAGTGTGGTAGGGAGGCATGTGGGTCTCTCCCATCCGAGCTGAGTACCCTCTTCCTCTGCTCAGTGGTCACCCCACAGAGAGGCCTTCCAGCTGCTCAAACTCTAGTCGCACTTTTCCTGCACTCCAGCCTCCTGCCTGGCCTTGCTCCACTCCCAGCATACCTGTCCTGCAGGCCTTGGATGAGGCTGATCTCGGCTTCACGGGGAGATGCATGCTCAGCTCTGCAGGGAAGGAGTCTCTGGTCCCCTCCAACCCCTCTAAGTCTTCACTGTACCATAGAGGTACATAGAGGGAAGGCCCTGGGTCATCTGCTTGCCATGCTGCTGACACCCAGGATGACCCTGAGGAGGTTACTGCCCCCTCCAGCCTGGGCACATGGTACGTGCTCAGTAAGGGGGAGCTTTTGCCAGGGAAGCAGCTGTGCGAGCTGATGTACCCCATGATCTGTGGGGACGACTGCCTCACAGGTTTCCTTTCCATCTGCAGGAACTGGCACTTATATAAATGGAACAAAAGTGAATTACAGAAGTTTCACAAAAGTGAAAAACAGAACATGTAGCCACACTATGTTTCAATATGGGCTCTCTCTGTGACAGGTGGTGTGGGAATCTTCTGCAGGTGACCACTGGTCCTGCTGTGACCTTCTGACTACCTGGACATGGCTGGTGTCCTGATGTGGGGATGGTGGCAAAAGTCCACAGAGGACATCATTCTCGGTGGCTACTGCAACATGGTGGCACATGCAGGTTTTTATTTATAATTTGGATCTATATGGCAAAATGTTCACAATGAGCATTCACTTTTTTCCTTCTTTTTGTAATACTGGGGATTGAACCCAGGGCATTTGCACTGAACTACATCCCCAGCCCTCTTTGTATTTTTAAAAAATATATATTTTTTGAGACAGGATCTTAGTCACTAAGCTGTCTAGGCTGGGTTCAAACTTGCAGTCCTCCTGCCTCAGCCTCTCAGGGTGCTACAGTTACCAGCTTGGACCACCATGCCCGGTTCTCTTTTTGTATTACTCATACCTAAGGGGTCACCATTTGGACCTGCCCTGAACACACCCTCAGGGCAGGGAGTGTGGTCTGTACTGAGGTAGCTGACTCTGGGCAGGACATCAGTCACCAGCCTGAGCTCCACTGTCACTCCCAGCAAACCAGCAGCAAAGCTGGGTGCCCCTCAAGCGCCCTTCTTCACGATGCCAGCAGCCTCAGCTAACTTACTGTGCTAAGAAGACTTGAGGTCAGTCACAGAAAGGCACAGACAGGTGATAACCGCCCGGACCAATGATTGCGAACCTTTCAGAGTGTTTACTGATATAAACACCCCCACGGTGGCACGCATGCCATAGCTTTGCCACCACTGGCCTAGACTACAACATGTTTCAAATTCACAATCAAAAGAAGGAGCAATGCTGTGTTTAAGTGTTGGACACCCATAATCCCAGAACTCTGGGAAGCTGAGGCAGAAGAGTTGCAAGTTTGAGCCCAGCCCTGGCAACTTTGTGACTTAGCAACCCCTGTCTCAAAATAAAAATAAAGAGGAATGAGGTGTAGCTCAGTGCAAAGGCCCTGGATTCAATTAAAAAAAAAAAGACACAGCAAAGAACATGGGGGTCAGGGATGGAGCTCAGCAGCACAGGGCCTGCCTGGCAAGAGTGAGGCCCTGAGTTCAACTGCCGGTACCCAGGGGAAAAAAGAGAAAAGAACATGCTGGCTTCTTTCCCCAGTCCCAGACCTGTGTGGAAACCGAGGGTGGGTTTTATCTTGGAGGCCACAGGAACAGCTGGGAGAAAGCTCTTTCCTGGTGACTTTGATGGCTGGAAGTGTCCAAGGGGCAGCTGACTCCCAGCCAAATGCTCCACAGAGAGGGGAGGTTTCTCCATCACCTGCGGGGAGAGCACACAGCCGGGCAGGTGTGAGCAGGCATGCGAGAGGAGTGAAAGGTTAAGGTCACGCTCTGAAGAAGGGCTCGGTGTGTTCCGGGTGAGTGGATGAGTTCCTGCCGGCCCTCTCTCCAGTTCCCAGGGATGAGTAAATGAATGACACTCTGGCTGTGATTCCCTCCTCCCCTCAAATCCTCCTAATGGAAGGAACTCCCATCGAACCCCAGTGTGATGGTTAATGGTGCGTAAATCCACTGGGCCACAGTGAACCCAGGGACCTGGCTAACCAGTGTTCTGGGTTTGTCTGGGCAGTGTTTTGGGATGAGCATAAAGTTAAACAGCAGACACCCTCCATCATGTGGGTGGGCCTCATCCAATCAGGTGAAAGTCTGAACACAACAGCAAGGCAGGCTTTCCCTCAAACAGGACAGAACCCTCCTGCCTGCTGGCCTTCCAGCTGGACCCCGGGCTTCTTCTGCCTTGAACTAAAACCTCGCCTCTCCTGGGTCTCCAGCTGCTGCCTCAGCCTTGGATCTGGGGACCTGCTGGACTCCATGAGCCACTTCCTGGTGACTGATGTCTCTCTTTCTCTCTGTGTGTCTATATGGACACAGAGGGTTTTTGTTTTTGTTACATTTTTAGATATGCATAGTGATCACATTCATTACTGGGAGTTTATACCTGTACGTGACGTATCTTGCTTCTTCTTTTCCCATTCCCCTCCCCTCCCTTCAGCCCTCATCCCCTCCGCATCTACACAACCTTGTTTTCCGTTTTTTTCTCCTCTATTCTCTTTTTCCCTTGTCCCTTCCTTCCTTTCCCCCTCGTCCCGCCCATTTGAACCTTTTCTCCTCATTCTCAGTCTCCATTACAAATTTTGGTCCTTATTCATTCTTGCGGTTTCTCACACCAGAGAAAACCACGCAGTTCTGTCTCTCAGGAGAGCGCTGACCACAGGCCGCCCTGCAGCCCTTGCTGCTGCCTCCTCTCAGTCCTGCTGAACAAGGCAGCGGCTCCTTCCATTCCTGAGCCCGTGGGCACCCCATGCCCCACCCTATGGGGCTCTGGTTGGCAGAAGCAGGACCACACCCTGCCACACTCTAGCTACTGGCCTTGCACCCACTTGTGCATTCACCAGGAGAGCAGGGAGAAGGAACCCTGCCAAGGGAGACCAACTCCCTGGGAGCCCTGGGACCCACAGACAGGTTCACACCCTGCTCCTCAGACCTGCCCTCTCAGGTGTGTTTGCGGACATGCTAGGCAGGCTCTCAACGCTGAGCCTTGCTGTGGGTCACATCATGCAGTATCCCAAGCAAGCAATTCAAAGAGGAGACTATGATCCTACAGGGTGTTGGTCAAGTAAAAAAATTGAGGCTCCTGCGTGGCCACTGAAAGGGAAACAGAAATCCTCAAGGTGGCCAGAGTCTGCAGCCGTCTGCAGTCATTGGTCTGGAGAGTCATCTCTCTCTGAGATGAGAAAGGGGGCCTGGGCGGTAGGCCCTGTACTGGGCTCGGCAAGGGAAAGAGAGATGGTGGGATCAGCACCTAACAACCCAGCTCTCACTGGTTATTTACTAGGTTCTGGAATCAAGTAATGTGTTTTTCCTTAAGTTAAAAATACAAACACTGAGCCAGGGGTGGTGGTGCATTCCTGTAATCCTAGCACTGGGGAGGCTAGGGCAAGATAATCATTGCAAATTTGAGATAACCCTGGGCTACAAAGTGAGCCCAAAGCCAGCCTGAATTGAATATTGAGACCTTGTCTCAAAAAGACAAAAAACAAAAATAAAAACAAACAAACCCAAAACCCCAAATACTGGCTGGGTATAGTTGCAAAAATCTGTAATCCCTGGACTCTGAGAAGCCGAGGCAGGAGGATTGCAAGTGCAAGCCCAGCATGGACAACTTACTGAGACCCTGTCTCAAAAACTGAAAAGGGATGGGGATGTTGCACAATGCAGACCCTGAGTTCAATTCCCAGTGCTGCAAAGAACTAAATGTAAACTAAATACTGGCTGGGAAGGCAGGTTAGTGGAAGAGTGCTTACCTAGCATGTAGGGCCCTAAGTTCCATTCTCAGCACCAAAAGAAACAAAACCACATGAATATTTACAACATCATATTAGGGGAGAAGCAAACATCTTACAGTACTGCATGGGGATTCTAACTGCGTGGAGCCTGAGAAGCCTGAGAAGCAGACCTGGTGGAGGCCCCCAGCCTGCCCACCCCACCTGGCTCCACTCCAGCAACCAGGCAAGAGGTGCTGTGCTGACGGCCACCTACCAGTTGCATGCTGCGGGTGACTGAGGGCGACTGTTTCCTCGTAGCCTTCCTTTCCATGGAGCGGTCCCTGCTGGGGCTGGCAGGCAGCCACCTCTTCTCTGCAGGGCTGGGGTTTGGGGTAGCACTGGGCTTTGGGTCTCTGGAGTCCAGAGCTGCCTCCTCCAGGAGGTGGCAGGAAGAGTGGCTGCTACTGCTCTCCCTGTCCTGTGCTTTGGAGCGCCGGCTGGCTGCAATGCGGGCAATGCTCTTGGTGCCCAGGGCCATTTCCTTGAGGGCCTGGGCACTCAGGGCTGGGCTGCCAGCCTCCCCGATCAGCCAGGGTGTGCCCGACTCCAGACCAGCTGAGGGGCTCAGCTTGGAGATAAGGCTCTTCATGGTCAGGGTGCTTGGCTTCTGCTGGGAATCAGCACCAGAGGGGAAGGTTAGTGTCACTGGCTATCACTATGTTGCCAGAGAATCTCTGTTTTCTGGAGCAGACTCAAAGACAGTGACTTGAGACCAGGGTCAAGGCACCCAGGGTCATCCCTGGGCCAAAGTTTCTCCTGACCAGAGTCCCCGGTCCTGTGCATGGCAGAGTTGCCCCATAGCTGCCTGTGCAAGGGGTTTCCTCGCTGGTGGTCAGCAGCTGGAAAGTCTACAGCCTGCTCATTTATCCTGAGGAAGCGAGAAGAGCACTAACAGCTTCTTTCTTTTAAAAAATGGTGCCACGACTCAAACCCACAGACTCACACACATCAGGCAAGTACTTCTCCATGGGCTATGCCCAGCCCGGCCTGTGGGCTTCCTTATGATAGTTCATAGGACAGGACCAGTGACCAATTCAGGGGTACCCATGGCCTCTTCCTTCCCCAAGCCCACCCATTTGTCATCCTGCTTCCCTAAAGGACCTGTCCCACCCTGGTCCCCATGCAAAGGAAGACTGTGTGCTTGGTGGAGGAGGACAGGTGGACACACACCACATGGGAGTAGAGAGTGAGACACAAAATTCCAGTGCAGGTAAAGCAGCAGGACTCAAGGCTTTGAGTGACAGGGAAGTCAGAAGGGGACAGCACGGGGGGGGGGGGTTGCTCAGCAGCAGAGCACTGTGGGGGTATCACTGAGTTTGTTGGGACAAGCAGTGAGCCAGCTGATGTTCTTCAAGAGAAGTACAGAGGAATGAACAGCATTTCTCCTTTAGGCTACTGAACCAGTTTTGTTTTTTTTTTTTTTTTTTTTTTTTTGGTTTGGCACCATGCTGAGGCTCCAGGATCCCTCATTTTATGGTGAAGAAATAGACTCAGAGGTGTGAGGTAGGTTGCCCACCGTCACAACACAGCAAGGGTTAGCATCAGGATTTGAGTCCAGGTCCATCTATGTGCTGAGCCTCAAAGTGCTCACACCTGCGAGAGGAGAAGGTCAGGAGGAGGCCACTGGAACCTACGAGGGGCTTTTAACTCATGCACTCACCTGCTCCTTTCAAATAAAATACTCACCGCGTGCTGGTGGCCGCTACCATTGTGGGGCCTCCGGGACAGCCCTCCTTCTGGAAGCCCTCGCCCACCCATGCATGCAGCTCTGACAGGTGGGGTGTGAGGCCCCCTGGGACAGGACAGGCATACCAACCTCAAGCAGGGGAGGAGTCAGCAGGGTGCGAAGCTGTGGTGGAGGGAGGAGAGAATCCTGCCGGCCCAGCTTTCTGGATGGCGTGGCTTTCGATGACTTGTTACCATCCCTGCAGATGAAGCAGAGTGCCCAGCAGGGATACTATCAGGGCTTGGCACCTTTGATCAAAGCCTGAATCTGGACTTCTGTACCACCCCAGCCACAAAGGTTGTACCCCACTTTGGGGCAGGGCAGTGGCCTCAGTCATGTTGCTGATCCTCTATCATGGCCAGGCCAGTGCTGAGAGCCAAGGGTCCCTGGTCGAGGAGGCCCTGCCCCACCTCTCCATTAGTGGGGTCATGAGCCCAGTGGGTAAGGGATGTAAGCACAGCCCCTGAGTGCTGTGGTCCCTACACCCAGAGGGCTAGAGTATGAGCAGGAAGAGCCCTCCACAGACCAGAAGGCTACCAGCCTCAGGGCAAGTGCTCTGCAATCTTCTTGTTATATTGGTGAGGTAACTCCTGGTGGCCCCTGGAGAGACCCAGGTTAGGACCAGTTGGGGCTGAAGACTGAGCTAGCAACACACTCACACAGTGTAATGCAGGACCAGAGGCTGACTCCATACACGCTAGCCCCTCAGCTGCAGACACAGTGTCCCTGTGCCCCACGCACAGCTGGAGGGAGCTCAGCCCGGGGTCTGACCACATCCAGGCTGTGGCTGCAGGCCCAGCTCTGGACAGGGAGGCCAAGATGGCCTCCTTCCAGGGAGAGAGGTAGGGCTGGGCTGACCCAGTGGTCCTGCAGCCCCTCCTGAACACTGTGTTCTCAGGGCCGAGCCAACAGTGTTCCCATACGTGGGATGCCAGTGGCAAAGCGGCATCCAGCCCAGACCAGAGCAGGGGCACTTGTTCACATGCACGTGTGTGTACATGACACACGACACATGGACACAGACACGCACTGTACACAGGACATGTGTTGGGACCCAGAAAATGAGACTCCTACTGAAGGCATCAAAAGCAAGGTCCCTCTGACCTTCCCCTGCCCTCCTGTGTCTTGTCATTCTTCCCCACAGCACAGATCCTCCTGAGTAGCTGGGATTATAGGCATGCACCACCACCAGGGAAGATTTTGTTGGAGGGAAGCACTGGGGATCGAACTCAGGACCTTCACACTGAGCTACCTCCCTAGTGCTTTTTGTTTGAGACAGGATCTTATTGGGTAGTTCAGGTTGGCCTTGAACTCACAGTAATCCTCTTGCGTGCTGGGATTACAGTCATGTGCTCCTGTGCCCAGCTCATGTTATTCTTAAAATAATTCTGCAGGAAGGGGATGTTAGAGTCTCTTCACCAAAGAGGAAGGTTCTGGGAGGTCCTTGGTCCCCAAGCCAGCCCCGCCTAGCTTACCTATCTCTCTCCAAAAGCAGCAGGAGGAGCTCAGATTGGAGGCCACAAGGGAGACTTTTCCTGTCCTCGTGCTGGGCTTGGCTGGCCTCCGGCAGAGGTGATGTGTTCACAACAGAAGCATCCTGGGAGCAGACAGACAAGGCCAGCAAGGCCAGCAGGGCCCAGGTAAGATGACACCAAGAAGAGGGTCTCTGAGGGGTCATGGGCAGGTCACTGCCCTCCCTGGTACCACCATTCAGTAGGGAGGCCAGCGAGGCAGCTCCCTCACTGGAGCCCCTGCCACGGAGACAGAGGGAAGTGCTGTGCTCAGGGGGCCTCCAGGGACCATCACATGGCCTGATCCTTGGGCAGACGTGGGGCACAGAGGGACACCTTATAGTCAGAGCCTGGAAGTCTGCAGGTCCTCGAAAGGCTAGTCATGAAACTACTGTACAAGCCAGCAATTTCACTTCTGGTCTCTACCCCAAAGAATGGAAAGGAGGCTCTCAAAAGAGATATAGGGGGTGATTGAAAAATACACTGAAGGTTTAATTATCAAAAGATTCACCACATTAAAAGACACGTTGCCATTAATCACGCTCAAAAATACCCTCCCTCGCTCTGAACACTCTTATCCCGTCAGAGTTGCAACTTTTTGAAGCAGTTCCTTTCTTGTGGGTATTGTGGGGGCTGCCTCCATGTCCTGCACTGAGTCAGATGCTTCCTTTCCTGGTCATGTTGACTTAGGAGAAGAGCAGGAAGTTGCATGGTGTCGGAATAAAGTGACGAGGATGAGCTATCATGCTTTTGACAGAAATTACCATAAATGTTTTGAACCAACCTGGGACATAGAGGCAGCCATGAAAAGATATTCTGAAAGAAGACTTCCAGAACTGCTTCTGAAAGTGGCGAGAACAGAGAGAAAAGTCTGTTTGAAGACGGGGGATCTGGGTAAGGTGGCGCATGCCTATAAACCCAGCGCTTGGGAGGCTGAGGCAAGAGGATCTCAGAGAGCTCAAGACCAGCCTGAGCTATCCAGGGAGACTCTGTCTATAAAACAAAACAAAAGATAATAAATAAAAGAAAGAGAGGAAGTATTTTGAGGGGAATTAATGGTTGTGTGTCTCATACTATAATAACTTTTCTTAAATTTTAATTTAAACTCACTGTATGCTTTGATCATACCTCATATCTGCACACTGGTGTGCAGGGGGTTAGACTCACCTGCAGTGAGCTGGCCATCCTGGAGTGCAGCAGCAGCAAGCGGTCCAGCGTGCCCTCCCCCAGCTCCCGGAAGTATAGACGGTACTGCCTCTCCAGGGCCTCTGGCACCTGGACGCCACTGTCTGAGGAGCCAGGGAAGCAGGGGTTAGAGCGGGGTCAGGACACCCTCCCACACACAAACCAGGCAAGTGGCCACCACTTGTTAAAAAGCAGCACCACTGCTTTGAGAAGGCAAGAACTCCTGCCTCATAGAGGAGGCTTTTCTGATGTTCTCCTATTTTTTTCATTCATTTTGACTTTAAAAACATTTTGTCAATGCTGGCATTTGTACCCAGGGCCTCACACATGCTAGGCAAGTGGTCTGCTACTAAGCTATACACACAACCCAGGCTTAAGATTTGTCTATTGTTCACGTATTGCCTTTGAATCATAAAATATCATTGGTGATTCTAATAATGGGCAAATAAAATTTAATTAAAAGTTAAAGGACCACTCCTTACAACTCCAAAAGAACTGAAAACAAGTTTTTAAGAAGACTTGCCAGGCAAATTTTTTATAATCCCAGCAACACTTGGGAGGCTGAGGCAGGAGGATCACTACCTGGGCTACCTAGTGAGTTCAAGGCCAGCCTGAACTGTGTAGCAAAGACTCTGTCTGGAAAAAAAAAAAAAAAAGAATTGTAAGCAAATGTTCTTAGCAACATTATTCAGAATCACCAAAAGATAAAAACACCCAGAAGCACCTGAACAGACAACGGAGAAGCAAGATGGCCTATCCACATAGTGCAGGGCAACTCAGCCTGAGAAGGAATGAGGTTCCCACACCGGCTGCGACATGAAAGAGTCTAAAAAATATTTAACTAAGGGAAAGAAGTCAAGCGCAAAACATCACGCGTTGAACGGCTCCATTTCTGTGAAGTGTCCAGGACAGGTAAATGCAAGAGACAGAATGTGGGCTGGGGGCTTTCAGAGCCTGGGGTGGGGACAGTGGGGAGCCACTGTGAACGGGGTGGAGCTTCTGGGCCACTGGGTGCTGTGGGACCAGACAGAGGAGGTGGCTGTCTGTGGTGGGGAGACACGTGAGAGGCCCCTGAGTTGATCGCTTTAAAATGTGCAAAATGGTGAATTACGTAATTTTAAATGTTTTTATAAGCATTACTCATTTTACAAAATACTCAGTTTGAATGTGGTAACTTCGTACATACGACATGGTTTGACTGTAGCCACGCCCACTGCCCTCCCTCCACCCCGCCCCCCTTTTTATCCCCTCCTCTTGTCTGGTCAGGGTCCTGCTCCTAGTTCACGGTCCTGCTCCTAGTTCACGCCATCTTTCTCTCTTTGATTCCACACATTAGGGGAAACGTGGTACTTGTCTTTCTGGGTCTGGGTTGTTCTACTTAAGGCACTGATCTCCAGTTTCCTCCACTGCCCTGCAGATGACATAATCCTGTTCTTTATTTTATTTGGTTTTATAAAGTAACATTTACTGTAAACACCAGACTAGATTTGAACTTACTACGTAGCCCCAAGACGGCCTAGAACTCTTGGTGATCCTCCTGTCTCATCCTTCCACACACTTGGATTACAGATATGTACCACCATGCCTGGCGTGTTACTTTCCTTACCCATTCATCTGTTGATAGGCACCAAGGCTAGTTCTAGGGTACCACAGTAAACATGGGTATGCCGGTGTCTCTAGAGTATGATGACTTTAATCTGAGAGGAATACGCCAACGAGAAATATAGCTAGGTCAAAGGGTAGCACTGTTTGTAGTTTTTGAGGAACCTCCATGCTGATTTCCATAGTGACGGTACTAGTTTACATTCCTACCAGCAGGGGGCAGACGTCTTTCCCCCACATCCCCCCACCATGCTGCGTTTTTGTGTTCACAGGGGGAGCCTTTCTGACTGACACGAGGTGGACCCTCAGTGCAGTTTTCATTCGCATTTCCCTCATGTTGTGTAAGTCTCAGCGAAACCATTAAAGGAGGAAATTAAACAGCAGCCCAGTTATAGCTCTGACACAACTTGATCGCATATAGGCAGGCGGTGGATTATAGAGAATGGGAATCTGTTTTCCTTTCCATTCTTTACTGCATATAGGCAGGGGGTGGATTATAGAGAATGGGAATCTGTTTTCCTTTCCATTCTTTACTGCATATAGGCAGGGGGTGGATTATAGAGAATGGGAATCTGTTTTCCTTTCCATTCTTTACTGCTGCTATACATTTTTAATGCCTTTCTCAGCCAGGCACAGTGGTGCACAAATGGAATCCCAGCACCCTGAGAAGCTAACGCAGGAGGCTCACAAGTTCGGTCCCAGCCTGAGCAGTTCAGCAAGGCTCAAAAAATGTAAAAAAGGCTGGAAAAGGGCTAGGTCCAGTGTAGGCCTGGAGTTCAGCCCCAGTACAAAACAAATAAAACCCTGAGTAGACTGGGTGATTTTTGGTTTACGGACATTAAGGGGACAACAGGCAAGGCTAAGATACAGTCAGCAAATCGGTATTATATCAGTGTTGGTATCCTGTCCTCACGTAAAAAAATACACTTGCTTTTAGAAAATATCCCCTAATGTATTTAAGGGTTAAAAACATGGCTTAGGAGAGAAACAGAGAAAGAAAAAAAGAAAGAAAGAAGGAAAGAGAGAAAGGTGAAAGTGAGAATGTTACTACATGCGAGTCTGAATGGATTCTCTGTACTATTCTTGAAACTTTCCTGTAAGTCTGAAATTGTGTCAAAACAAAAGCTAAAAAAGGACCTGGGTTGGGCCAGTGATTTAACTTGTGGCGTATGCGCCTTCCTGGTAAGCACAAGGTCATGAGTTTGATCCCCAGTACCAAAAAAAAAAAGGAGCTGGGTGTTATGGTGTCCACCTGCACTCCCTGCTCCCTGCTGCTGTGGGAGGCTGAGGCAGGACTGCAAGTTCAAGCCTAGCCGGGGGAAACTAGTAATTCAGCATAAATCTGTATTAGCTTTTTTAAAAAGTAGGGAGGTGATGAGGATGTGTCACAGTCCTAGGTTCAATACTCAGGTCTCTCTGTCTCTGTCTGTGTCTCTCTCCCTGTCACACGCACACACACACATGCACACACACACACACACACACACACACACACACACACACACATGCACACATGCAAGAGAGAGGCAGATCTCACTCATCCTTACAGAACCACGCCCAGATGAGTGAGAACACAGCCCTGGTGGGTGTGCAGCACAGTCTGAGGATGTCAGGCTTCTGCCCAGCTGCTCTGTCACTGCACAGGCCATCTGAGAGGACACAGGGAGCTGCCCACAGCCGGCCTGGCCAGAAAGCAAAAAGGCTGAGGTCTACTCCATGCCACAGGGGACTATGCAGTGCTGTTTGTTTGTTTTGTGGTACTGGACCAAAGGGCACTCTACCATGGTGCGACATCCCCATCCCTCTTTCAATTTTTCCTCTCAGACAAATTCTCACTAAGTTGCTAAGTTGTCCAGGGGAGACTTGAACTTGTGCTCCTCCTGCAGAGGGCTGGGATTACAGGTGTGCCTGTCTTTCTTTTCTTTTGCAGCTGTTTTCTAGCCCCAGGTACAGCCTCCACTTTCTACACAATAACAACATAAGCCAGAGTATCCAGCAGGCTGGTCTCACCCTGCATCAACTGCCACTGGCCCCGGATGAGCTGCTCGCAGAGCCGCCGGTGCTGGTGGCAGTGCTGGATCACCAAGTCTTTCTGGCACAGCAGGGTCTTGCAGCGCAGGCTGTCGGCCCTCAGTTCCGTGTTCTCCACCTCCAGCTCATGGGCCCTGCACAGTAGCCGCAGCACCTCTCGCTGGTCCTCACTGGTCACCTGTGCAGGCAGGAGCGTCTCCATCTTTGAAGCCTTCTGCCTAGCAAGGGCAAGCCGCTGCTCCAGGCCAGCCTGGAGGGAGACCAGGACTCAGAGGATGCAGGCCAATACATGCTTGTTAAGGGACAGGTCTGAACACACATAGGTATGAATAGACTCAAATGCACCAAAGGTCAAGTGATTACAAACATTAAACACACCTCCAAACCCCTTCTCAGTAACCCTCAATTAGTACTTCATTAGATCACACATCCGGCCTGCTCAAGCTGACACTGTAAAGTAACCACCACACCACACAACTGTCCAGGCTGCCTCCTGGGCCCAAGCTGCCTTGAGGGCCTAGAATCTGGGCCCCAGGAATGAGTCAGATGATGGCTTTGAGCACACTGAGAAAGTTTCCAGCACACTGACAAGGCCAACGCCTTCTTGATCTGTGATCTGTAAGGAGAGAGGATTGGCTCAGCGCCCCCATCATGATCTTGCTCCCCAGTCTTCCACACAGCCTCGTGCCAGCTCCTCTGACTCTCTGGCTGAACAAACAGCTCGCTAGCATCCATCATGAGGACTATGTCACCATGCAGAACTGCAGAAAGTGGGGCTCCTGACTGTGTCACACAGTGAGCTCCTTCATCTTTTTATTTTAAGACAGGGTCTTGCCGCATTGCCCAGACTGGCCTCAAACTTGAGATGCCCCTGCCTCATCCTCCTAGGGAGCTGGGATTACAGGCCTGCACCACTACGCCTGGCCTCCTCCATCTTTAGATCCCCAGAGCCCGACATGGCACTGGACACTTACAGCACTGATTCGTTTATAACTAACTTTTCCATTAGCAGACCCATGAGCCCTAGACCATCCATATCAGCATCTATATCCAGATCTTCAGGTCACGGTTTCTTGCTGGTACACAGCACAAGCTTAAGCAAAAGAAATTTTTCTTCTTTTTAAATGTCAGAAGAAAAACATAAAGGTCAGAGGAAATCAGATTTTTAAGTTTGAACTGAAATTGCATAATCTCCAAATTGCTACAGCAGATGTAATAATCTGAAGACACCCTTGGTTTGGTTACATAGCTTTTAAGTGAAATAAGTGCCTCTTGCATTTAACAACCTGACATCATCAGACAGTTTGTGCCTTTGCCTGGAAATGCAGCCGCAAGCGTGTAAGTAAGGGTACAGCAGCATCAGGCTCCCTGGCATCACCCCGAAGTCTCCACCACGTGGCAGCTCAGCCATTTTCTTAATGAGACTATTAAGTAACCAGTTATTACATAAACAGCTCACGTAAATAAGTAGCTCTTCTCGAGATGCAAAATTGTGAGGACTTCCTTCTCTAGAAAGGAGGTTGGACACAGCTTTCGTCTGGCCCCAGGTCTGCCTATGACCTGCTTAACCAGAATCTGGCAAAGACTAAACAGATGCTCCTGGAATCACTTTGCGAACTGGAAAGTGAAGGAGCTGAAGGTTTTGCCATTCCAGGCTCCAGCCACAGAAGGTGAGGTGTGCAGGGGTCTCAGTGGACCGACGGTGCCACCCTTGCCCCATTTCCACACACTGGTCCTCAGACCCCTGGGGGAGCCATGACTGCACACTGTGGGCCCCAAGCACTAGGTCAGACGCAGGTCAGGCCTCAGCCAATGGCCTCTTGTTCTCTGGGGCTTTGGGACAATTTACCCAGTATCTCTGAGGCTCCATTTTCTCATCTAGAAAGTGGTCCTGCCTGCCCCCTCCCCATGCACAGAGGGTGATCACAAAGGATCACCTATGCTTGTTCAATAAGCCCCACCCCCTCACTGGACCATGCTGGCCCCTCCCCCTGACCTTGAGGGCTGAGGTTTTCTGATGCTCTGCTAGCAGTAAGTTGACTTCTTCTGTGGTCACAGCCACCTCCTGCGGCTCTTCGGGCACGTCCTCCCCATCAGTGCCTGCCAGCTCCTCATCTTTTTCCAGCTCACTCTGGTCCCTCTGCATGTGGAGGTCGCTCTTCCCCTGCTCCCAGCTGTGGCCACAACAGGGGGTCAAACTGCAAGCCTTGTTCAGAGCTGGGGGTCCTGGTACCTCCAGTCTCAGGAACCCCCACCTTTTATTCCCCTGCAACACTGGGGCTTGAACCCAGGGCCTTCACATTGAGCTATATTCCCAGGTCTTTATATTTTTTATTTTTATTTTATTTTGAGAACAGGGTCTCTCACTAAGTCACTATGTTGCCCATGTTGGGCTCAAACTTGCAACCACCCTGCCTCAGCCTCTCAGAGGGCTGGGATTATAGGCAGGGACCACCACTCCCAGTTCCAGGCCCCTTCTTGACCCCAGATGGTCTCCTTAAAGGTTTGGATGTAAAAGGGGCACAGAATTGGGTCTTATGAGCTGCTCTCCCCTCCCTCTCTCATACATATATGTTATATAATACATATAAATACCTCAGTTCACGAATGCTTCTGTTTGCAAACAATTCAGTTTGCCAACAAAAGCATTTGACAAAACTCTGCCTTTGTTTGCAAATTCCTCATGGAATGACAAATACAACCACAGCCATCTTCCCAACACAAACACAAATGCAGCCATTTTCCCCAAAATTGTAAAATAAATTAAGTTGGTAAACCAAGGTACCACTGTATCACTGTATATATAACTATATATATAAATTATATATAACTATGTACTATAAACTATATATAAATATAAACTCTACATATATATAAACTATACCTATATCTATATTTACATCTATATGTTAGTCTTCCCCAGCCACAGCCTCTCCTATCTACATGTGCCCTATTGCACCCTGTTTCCTTACTGTAGACTAGGACAATGACAGGACACAGTCCAGGGCTCTGAGAATAACTGCAGCTCCCCAGGCCCTGCAGAGAGGGTGCCGGTGAATCCACACACATGGGTACCACGGGGGAAAGCAGTGGTAAGGGGGCCAGAATGGAAGGGACCAGGTTGTGAGTGCACTTTTAAAATTTGAACTCCCCTAAGTAAGTCTTGTGCTGTTTGAATAACTGAAGAGAAAAAAAAGAGAAAAAAGGAAAAAAGGAAAAGAAAGTGAAAGGAAGGAGAAGCAGGGTCACTGTGGCTAGAACTTGGGAACTGGGAGCAGGGGGTGAAGGAGAAGAAATCGGTAAACCACATAAACAGGTGGTCGTGTGTCCTGGGTCATTCAGGGCTGTTTCAGGGCCCACCTGCTGTTCTGGAGCAACAGTTGACAGTGCCCTGTCACCCCCAAGGGCAGCCTGGTGTGGATGACATATGTGATACGGTCTCTCCATCTCTTGCAGAGAGGAACAGGGGACAGAGTGTGAAGGGAGAAGGAGCTGTGGCCTAGGGGATGAGTAGTGGTGGGCAAACCCACCCCTCTGAGCCTTACTGTCCTCTTCCATGAACACTGTTGATCCAACTGGCTCTGGACTCCAGCTGCGACAGACCAGAAGGAGGCAGAAGCCTCCTCATCTGGCTCAGCTTAATCACAGCAGCAGAGGAGCTAGGGAATGGGGACAGGAGTCCTGCTTTGACCCACAGAGAACAGAGGTGGCCAGACAGAGCAAGAACAGGGGCTCCCTTATGGCCTCTGCAGGGACACTCACTCCGCAATGGTCAGCAGGTGGCGGTACAGGTCCACATGCAGTTCAAGGTTGGTGTTCTCCAGCTCCACCAGGCTGTGCCGCATCTCCATCTGCTCCTTAAAGGCCCCGATTAGCTGTGCCCGGATCTTGTTCATCTGCAAGTGGCTCTCCTCTTCTGCACCATGGGGGCCAACCGTGACTGTGGGCAGGATGGGATGCTATGCCAGGAGCAGGACCAGCTAAGCTCAGGTTGAACCCCATAGTCACTCACTCAAGTGAGGTCTGGTTCATGGCAGGACTTGGCACCCATGTGTGGATGGATGAAAGATGAAAGGATGGATGGATTATGAATTGATGGTGGGTGGGTGGATGTATAGATAGATGGAAGGATGAATGGATGAGTGGTGGGAGAAGGGTGGGTGAGTGCATGGATGGGTGGATAGAAGAATGGATGCATGAATGAGTAGATGGATGGATGGATGGATGGATAAGTGAGTGAAAGGATGAACAGATGAATGGATGAGTGGATGAATGGAGAATGGAGGGAAGGAAAATAGATGGGTAAGTGGGTGTGTGGATGGATGAATGAATGAGTGGATGGATAGATGAATGGGTGGGTGGATGGATGGATGGATGGATGGGTGAGTGGGTGGAGCTGTGACCTAGGAGATGCATAATGGTGGGCACACCCACATCTCTGAGCCTTACTGTCCTCTTCCATGAACACTGTTGATCCAACTGGCTCTGGACTCTAGCTGTGACAGACCAGAAGGAGGCAGAAGCCTCCTCATCTGGCTTGGCTTAACCTCAGCAGCAGAGGAGCTAGGGATTGGGGATAGGAGTGCTGCTTTGACCCACAGAGAACAGAGGTGGCCAGACAGAGCAAGAACAGGGGCTCCCTTATGGCCTCTGCAGGGACACAGATGGATGCATGTGTGCACCTGTAGATGGATGGAGGGTAGGTGGGAGGATATTTGTGTGAATGGATGCATGTGTAGGTGGGTGGATCAGCAGACGAATGCATAGGTAAGTAGATGGATGGGACTGGTGGATAAATGAGTAGATGATGCAGATGGATTCAAACCCTCTCTTTGTCTGGTTTGGGGCCAGGACGCCTGTATTTGAGTCTCAACACCGCCCAGAGGGTGAGGTTGGGCTGGCCACATCAGCTCAGACCTCAGCTTCTCAGGGAAATCCTGCCACAGCATCACCAGAGTCTGCCGCCTGCTCTGACAATAGCCTTGCTTCTCTGTCACAGTTCTCTGCATGTCTGTAATGAGGAACATCTAGTGAGAAGTACTTCACATCTGCCTTTCCTGCTGGACTGTGAGCTGCTCCACAGAGCTGGAGTAAGTTCACAGTCTATTTCTTGTGGTAAATTCCTAACAGTTGACCAGTAATTAATCAATGGCTTTTTATTTTTGCTATGCTGGAAATCAACTCCAAACCTTGTCATGCATGCTGGCCAACCCTCCCACCCCAGGAAGGAGCTCTCTCTGGGCCTGCTGTTTCTCATCTAGTGCCTGACTTGAGGGCAGTGGACATGAGCTGCCCCTTCTCTCTACACAGCAAGCAGCCTAGATTGAGGAAATAAACTGTGGCATGTCTGGATGAGTGAGTCACCACCCACCATTAAAATAAGGTTTTGAAATACTTTAGAATTTTAGTTTTATATTGTTTACTTTTTATGTTTTATTCCCTACAATGAAGATGAAAGAGTTGAAAATAAATTTATTTATTTTATTCTACTTTCTTTTCTTTTTTTGCAGTGTTAGAATCTAGCCAGGGCCTTCTAAGTGTTACACAAGTGCTGTTTCACTGAGCTACACCCCAGCCCTTGAAAAGAGTTTTATAGTTCTATAGTTTTATAGTACAGTTTTTGTTCTCTAAGATTAAACTGAAAAAATAAAAAGAAACCAAGAAAAAAAACCCAAGGTTTTGAGCTAGATTTGGTGGCATACAACAAAAAGCCCAGCCACTCAGGGGATCCCAAATTTAATGTCAGCCCGGGCAACTTAGCAAGACTGCATCTCAACATGAAATGAAGAAGTCCAGGGGTGTAGCTCAGGACTAGGGTGCTTGCCTGGTATTTATGAGGCCTTGGGGTCAAACTCTAGCACTGCAAAAAATCAAGTTTTCAGGGAACATTTGGAAGCCCCACTTCTTGGTTTTTTTGGTACCAGAATCAAACTCACAGCCTCATGCTTGCCAGGCAGGCACTTGTGTCCCTGAACTAGATCCCTGGCTCACACACATCTTGTTAATCACCCAATGACCTAATGCAGTAAATTCTCTGCAACACCCCACTTCTCACCCCACTGAACCCTCCAAGTACCCAATAATCCAGCCTGTTACCAACCAAAACACATCCCCTTTGAGTTCCTTTCTCCTCTGGCTCCAAAAAGCAACCTTAACTTCTAGGTTGATCAGAGAAATACAGTACCCAAGGGCTCAGGAGGCCATGGTAAGAATGCCCAAGTACCCACCCTAGGACTGAGACCAGCATACTGGGACATACCCTCCTGTGTGACAGAGGCTGAGGTGGGGCCAACATGCAGAGAGATGGTCCCAGACATGAGGCCAGGGGGAAAGCAAGTGGAGAACAGTATCTGGGTGCAGTGGCCACCCCTGCAGTTCAGTTTCTTGGAAGCCTAAAGTAGGAGGATCTCTCCTGTCCTGGGAAGCCCAGGAAGCCCAGCCTGGATAACACAGTGAGACCCTATCGGAAATACGATCACAAATAAAAGGTATACAGGAGGATTATGCAGGTCACATGCAAACACTATACCATTTTATATGCACTTGAGCACCCAACGACTTGGGTATCCTGGGGGTTCCTGGAACTGATGCCCCTTGGACAGTTAAGTTCAATAGTATTTACACAAGTACCGTGGAGATATATTTTTCTTACAATAAAACATGAAGAATCCAAAGAACCCCTTGATCATCTGATCACCCCTCCCCACCTGTAGCAACAGTTCTCTGGGAGGAGCACCTCCCGCACCCTTCCCTGTGTGGCTATGAATGCAGGCCTGTACCTAGAGGTGGGTGAGGTTCTGTGGGTTGTTCAAATAAACAGCGCCAGATTGCCACTACTCCTCCCCCACTGGCTTCTGCCACCCCTGGCGTGTATCTGAGGACTTCGTCTGTCTGCACAGTGGCCCCAGCTGGCCCTCAGCCTCAGCTGCAAGGCATTTGGGGCTCTCTTGACCTGGAATCACTCTCTGGTTACAGATGCTCAGAATGGACCAGCAGGAGGAACCAAGCCCACACTCAACCCTACCTTGAACATCTGGGATGCCAGGTTCGCTTTTGTTCTTCTCTTGCTTCTCAATCTTTGATTTGAGATGCTCGATCTCCCTGCGCAGGTCCGAAATGACGTCTGTGTACTGTGCGATGCGGTAGGAGACGTTCAGCAGGTTGCGCTTGACCTGGTAGAGAAGACAAAGGCCAAGGATGGACCCAGAGGAGCTGGGTGTTGGAGCTGGTGTGTGAATGTGTTTATGTTGTAAACTCCAAATCGATGCTGTTCGACCTTAAAAAGGAAGTTGTGGTGATGCATACCTGTAATCCCAGCATTCTGGGAAGCTGAGGCAGGAGAACTTCAGGTGCAGGTCCAGCCTGGGCAACTTAGTGACTTAGTGAGAGCTTGTCTCAAAACAAAATTTTAAGGGTTGAGGGTGTCAGTCAGGGTGAAGGCTCTGAGTTGAATCCCAAGTACCTTCCCACTCCCTGGTACACACACACACACACACACACACACACACACACACACACACACACCGTGGGGTAACTCAATCAAACCGTGATCAAGAATATCAGGCTCCATGAAACCAGCCAGGTGAAAAGGGCAAATTGTGTGGGATTCTGCTTAAATGGGGTCCCAACGCTCATCAAATCCATGGAGACAGAAAGCAGAATTGTGGTGCCAGCCATGGTGGTATGTGCCTGTAATCCCAGCACTCAGGAGGCGTTGTGAGTTCGAGATCAGCCTGGGCTACAAAGTGAGCTCAAGGCAGCCTGAACTGCAAAAACACAAAAAAAAAAAAAAAAAAAAAAAAAAAAAAGAAAGAAAGCAGCACTGTGGGAGCAGGGCTGGGAGGGGCTGGGAAGTGGGATTTTAAAGTCAGTTTGGGAAGAGAGGAGGTTTCATGGATAGGTGATGGTGTTGGCTGTAGACCAATGCGAATGTGCTTAATAGCATTGCTCAGTGCACTTAAAATGCCTAAAATGATACATTTTATGCTACATATATTTTATCACAGTAAAACAGTCAAGTAGTCCATGGAGAATTATTGAAAAATCCTCCTACCAGCTGTCCCTCCTGTCATTTTGATGTGTGTCTTTCTAGGTTCTCCTGAGCAGCTCTGTACACATCTCTATCTAGAAAGACACAAAGTCTGTGTCTTAATTGTTAGGAGGGGCGGTGTCCAGGCTATAGATTATTAAAAAAATTTTTTGAGCTTGCTGTGTAGCCCAGGCTGGCTTCCAATTCCTGAGTTTTAGTGACTGTCCTGCCTCAGCCTCCTGAGTAGTTGGACTGCAGGTGCACATCACCGTGCTAGTTCACAGCTCCTGTTCCTCTACTTGCCTTCTCCCCAGCCCCACATCTGGAGACCATATGTATGCACACTGGCCCCACCTCACTCTCTGTCACATAGGAGGGTGCGTCCTGGCTTGCTGGTCCCAGCCCCTGGGTGGACCCTTGGGGTATTCTGGAGCTTCTGGCTGCAGCCTCCTGGGCACCCGACTGCTGTTTATCTCTGGCGGATGTGGAGGGTAATAGGCTGGCTCCTGGAATGTGTGCGCTGTGAGCTCAGCAGCAGGTAGGTGTGCAGTGGCCTCTGACTGTGCACCATACACGCATCCCGTGGTCTCAGCTTCTGGGTCACCTCCTTGACCTGAGGCCCCCTCTGGCCTCCTCTGATCACAAGGCTTCTAAATCAGTCTTTGCTGCTTCTCTCTAGCAGCCCAGTGTTCTCCTCCCGTGCACTGTCCACTGTGTAAGTACCAGAAAGCAGTGTCTCCTCTCTGCCCTCAAGCTGCCCCTCTGTGCTTTAGCTGCTGGTGCTCAGCTCAGAGCTGGGCCCTAGGAGGGGCACAAGAGTCCACATATCTAATCCAGCATTCCAGGAGACTGAAGCAGGAGAATCACAAGTTCCAGCTCAGGCTGGACAATGGAGTAACTTATCAAGACCCTGGACCAAAAAAGAGCTGGGGATGTAGCTTAGTGTGAAGGACCTAGGTTCAATCCCTATTACTGAAAAAAAAATTAAACAACTCCTATCAGCCTCTGACCGCTTGCTATGTGCCGCCTCTATACTAAGCTGCAACACGCACCATCTCACAGAATTCTCAGACTGAGTCGGAGCCTTTGGACTGAAAGAAAGTGTAGACAAAGAGCACAGTGGTTGCACAGGGCCTCTGGCTCCCACTGAGAGCTGCAGGAGGTGGGAGAAGTTGTTTTTTCCCTCCCTGTAAAGCGGGGAGGATAACAGGATCCACTGCTGACAGCTGCTGTGAGAATGAAATGGATTAAACCACACGTGGACTTTACAGCCTTGCCTGCCACACAGTAAGAGGTGACCGTGACCCTGCTCCAGGCCTGGGAATGTGATCTTGTTGGGAAAATGGTCTTTGTGGATGTAATGAAGGGCCACAAAATGAGAACATTCTAGATGAGGGTGGTCCCCAATCCAAAGCCAAGTCCTTATTCAAGAAGAGATGAAAGAAACAGAGAGAAGAGTGACAGTGACATATGCATCTAATCCTAGCACTCTGGGAGGCTGCGGCAGGCTGATCACCAGTTCCCGCCCAGCCTGAGCACCTTACCCTTGTCTTGATGTTCTTGGCCCTGTACGCGTAGAGCAGTGTAGTCCGTGACTCTTCAAAGCTGCTGCTGGCTGGGCTGATGTGGGCAATCATCACCGTGTGGCTGTTCCCTCCCAGGGCATCCTACTTGGGTAGAATCACTGAGCTGAGGTGACAGGGCTGCCCAGGGTGCCAGCCCTCCCCCAGCCACCACCAGGCCCACCTAGAGTCAACCTAAAGAGGACAGTTGATGCTAGGAAGCTGGGACCAGGCTCAAGAGGGGACCTTGGCAATGATGTGGGACCTTCCAGGCCACTCTGCCTTCTGTTCTGATGAGCAGATTAAACCAAGAGATAAAGTTTATAGGGATGTTTAACCACTGCTTTGCTTTTATTTATTTTTTGCCTTTATTCATGTTTCTCTTTGCTGTAGAACAAGGTGACGATTTTTAGCTCAGTATAAAGAGAACTCTTCTCACACCAGAGCCCTTATGATGGGGCTGGTAGCTTCAGAGAGGTAGTGGGCTCCCTGTCACTGGGGGGATGCAAGCAGAGCTGAATCACACTCAGAGGGGGAGAGGTGGGGCAGGCCGTGACCAGAGATGGCCTCTGTGGTGTCTCCCAGCCTACAGAAGTTCCTGGAAGTGCCCGAGACTCCTGCCTGGGCCTTGTCCTGCACCTGGAGAGGCCGAGCACCCACCTTCAGCAAGCGCGTGAGCTTGCTGTCCCGAAAGTTGACGTACTGCGTGCGGCTGCCCTTCTCACTCAGCGCGTTGATGCAGTTGCCCAGCGCCAGCAGCGAGCGGTTGATGTGCGCGCCCTCCTTCATCCTCTTGCCACGGTTCTGGGTCTGTGGGAGAGGCCAGCTGAGCCCGGGACCTGTGTCCCACCCCGCAGTCACCGCGCCCGTTCCCATGGTGATTGGCCTGCTCACCCTGCTTTCCTGGGGATCCTGACCTACAGCCTTGCACAGTGGGGGTCCACCTGGGAGAACCCGGCCTGCGGTGCTTTCCCCGCCATCCTGCTGACTCCTCACACTTGATTACATTCCTGCCCACTGCCCAGGGAGCACAGGCCCCCTGAGCACACAGCCTGGCCCTTGCTGGCCCCGGGCCCTCAGATCCTGGACACCTGCGGGAGCCTGGCCACAGCAGTGCTCGACTGCCCGCAAGTGCCAGCGAACAGGTGGACCAAACTGGAAACCAAAACTGCCGCTGGGCAAACCACCTCGCAGTGCGGTGACAATGGCGGGATGCGCCTTCATCCTCTTCCCTTTGCTTCCCTGCATCTTCCAGGTTTTCTGCACTTTGTGTTTTAGAAACCAGAAAAGAATTATTTACACTTTCTTTTAAAGGTGAGGGTTTTAGAGCCCACCGGCGCATGGTTTGGAGTAGCTGGAACTACTGATTGCAACCGACAGATCTCCCAGTCTGTCTAGCCTCTTTACTTCCCAATCAAGCTTCGTGGAGCTGTGGCAGGGTGTCACCGGACAGCATGTGTAAAGCTCAGCACAAGCTGGGCAGGGAGGCACTTGCCCAGCTTCTGAGCATTCTAGGAGGCTGAGGCAGGAGAAGCACAAGTTGGAGCCCATTAATTAATAAGGGCTGTGGTTGTATCTGAGCGGGGAAGGCAGGTTCGGTCTCCAGTACTGTGCACAGCAAGGGCACATAAGCAAGATGTCAGTAGACTCAGGCTGCCAGACTGACCAAGCTGGAGGTAGTCAGTCCTGTGTTGTGTGTCTATGTTGGGGCAGGAGATTTCTTGGAGACCTTGTGCCCATAACAAACTCTGTGAGACATTTTCTGTGAGGGCACAGCAGACCTCAGAGATAGCACTAGGTCACTGAATATGTCGCTCAAGCCCCAAGGCCCAGAGAGGGACACTGCCCTGCCCAAAGCCACACAGCAAGTAGAAGAAACAGAGCAGGGGCGCAGGACCCGGACTCCTTTGTGGTGCTCTCCCCTGTCACCAAGCCCTAGGGAGGCCAGTCTGGTCTCCACTGCTTCCTGAGGACACCCCTGCCCACAGCCAGTGCAGTCTCCTCTGTGGTGCTCAGTTCCTTGGTGACATACCCGCAGCTGTCTATCTACCAACCTTGTTCTCAGTATTCTGTGTTGTGCTGCTGTGGCATCTTGGGGTGTTGCTGATTTGGGGGGCACCCCTCCCAGGTCACCAATCCTAGGATGGCAAATGACCTACCTGCATGCACACCTTTCACCTGCATGCCCACCCCCAGAGCCTACTTCCCAGCCCTCCATGATTCTGAGCAAAGCTGAACCAAACCATCCTGGGCCACGCCTTCCATGCTGTCTAGTGGGCATGACGCTGCCCTCCTGGGATGGCACTGGTGTGTGCTAAGTGCGGGGTACACTGGAGGGATGTGACCAACATCACTTATGGATGACCTTCTTCTGACATTGCCTCTGTCAGCTCCCTCTGGATCTCTGGCCCTTGGCTGGGTCCCTGCACTCAGGGACTGCTCACGACACTGATGCCATTGCCAGGAGCTGCACACCCACACCCAGAGAGAGGAGAATCAAGGAATGGTGAGTCTCGCTAGGGAGGTGGGGGTTGGAGCAGCCCACTCTTCCGGGCCTAGTGCTATTCCAGGCATTGAAGGCCTGGTCAACAAGGACTGAAAAGGGTCTAAGGCAGTGGACATAGTAACATCTGATGGGGCACACCTGGGAGGCACGCTCGGAGCCGGCCAGGTCCACCATGAAGAGCTTGCCGAGGTGCACTTCCTCTGCCAGGTCTGGGCTACGCCGCCGCTGACACACTGTCACCTGCAGTACCGCATGGGAACGTGAGGATGTCTTGTTGGTGGCTGTGGGTTCCTGTGTACGCTGCCGGTTGCCCTTGGTGAGGAGCTGCATGATCTGAGGACAGAGGCAGAAGAGGGGTGGCCAGAGTGTTTGAGCAGCCAGGTGTGCATTCAAGGAACACCCAGAAAGTGGAGGGGTGGCGGTGCTCTATGTACCCCACAGAAGGGAGAATTTGTGGTTGATTGTAGGAAGTGATTCAAAAATTAGTCACATGTGACCAAGCAGAAACAGCAGAGTCCTGCCCCCTGCACTGGCTCTTCCCATTCTCCATCCCCAGCAGACGTCACCAGTGGATCCCCCACCTCTTCTCCCAGAGCAGCTCCAGGTTCCAAGGAGCTGCAGAGTTGCTGGCATTGGCTGGGGGACTGGAACCCAGCTGCCAGGCAAGAAACTGTGGAACTCAGGCCAGGGAGACCCTGTTGAGCACTCGCTGTGGACATCCCCAGGCTAGGACTGTGAGGTGTGTGTGGAGAGGCTGCTGAGAACAGGAGGCACCCAGCAGGCCCACACTGGGACACGAGGGGCTGGCAGCAATGGAGCTGGACCAGCGTGGCCATGCATGTGGGATGAGGGCTCAGCACTGAGGAGTCAGTGCTGACTCTGCAGGTGAGAAGGAGCCATGCAGACTCCCTGGGCAGGAGAAGGCCCACCCTGGGATGAGTCAAGTGTGGGATGGCACACAGACTAGAGGCAGAGAGAGGGTGGAGCTATAGATGTGTCAGGAGCCGGCCCTTGCTGAAGGAGCGCCCATTATGTCAGGTGGCAGGTGGACCAAGATCCAGATAAGAGGTCGGGACTACCTGTCATGCTGTGTGAGAGGCCTGAGCCTGTAGCAGGCGGCCTGGGTGAGGGTTGTGCCGTGGGTCCATTAGTGATGTCTGCCCTGAGTACTAACAGAGAGGCTGTCACCACAGAAATGACTGCCATTCCCTGAGTGCAAATCCCAGTGCTAAAACCCACAATCGAGCTGCATTTTGGTCTCTGCTCAGCAAACTTGAATCAGAACTTTGTGAGCTATGTGGTGTAGCTGACCCTCACCTCTTGGACATTCAAGGTGGAGACCTCTGTGATGCCAGGAATCTGGATGCTGCCCCTAGAATCTTCCCTTATGTCTAGAAATCCAGAAGATGGGTTCAGGAGGTCCCGGATCACTTCATTATATATCTGGAGTGGAACAGAAAGGTTGAAACAGAGAAGGTTTGGTGAGAAGAGTCCCCTGTAAGGACTTCCATACCACCAGGGCTTGAGTTGCTGGAGAAACGGGGCCAAGGCTTTGCACAGGCTGCCAGCACATGGTAACATGCAGGGCTGGTGCCTCACACACACACTCGGGTCTCTGATTATTACACACATCCTACAGACAAGGTGGTGAAGTTAGATAGGCAGGCTCACCTCAAGGTAAGACATGGACACACAGTAGTCCATGTGGTCTCGGGTCTCCTCAATGGCCTGGAAGAGGTCAGTGAGGGTCTGCAGATAGATGCCAGGCTCCGCGTCCATGCCCAGCATGGTGTGGGTCTTCCCTGCACCTGCGGGAGGGGTGGGCTCCTGAGACGGGCTCAGCTGTGTTGTTTCCCAAGAAGAGAATTAACACATCTCTGTGGGTGAGGGGTGTGTGTCTACAGGGGTGCCTCACCCCTTCACCCTGTACCCCATGAAGGTGAGGACCCAGCTGCTCTTTCCTTCTGAGTCTGGCATATACTAGAACTCAAAATGGGCACACACTGCGACTCTGGACAAGCTGCTTCCCTCCTGTCTCCCCGTCTGTGCAATGGCAGGACTAGGGCTGGGCCTGTCTGACTCTGATCCCCTTTGGTTCCACTTCTGAGAAATGGGAGTTTAGGTCTGCAAATGGTTGAACTCAAATTATACTCAGAGAAGAAACTGTGCTTCTCATGGGTAGCAGAGCACAGGCTTGGGCTGAATTCTAGATTCACACCCCGACCTTGTGGAAGTTGCTGTATCTCTGGGCTTATTTCCCATCTGTGAGCAGAGGTCATCCCACCTGCCTCTTATTGCTGCTGAAAGGAAGCCAGGGCCCAGGACGTAGGCTCCTGTGCTATTCAGGTTTTTCTGCCACCAACCCAGTTCCCTCCCCAGGACACTGTGGATGGTACCTGAGGGGCCGTAGGCAAACACTGTTGCATTGTATCCAGAAATAACGCCCTCTACCAAACGCCGGATGGTGGTAGAGTACACGTCTTCCTGCAGACAGACCGAAGGACAAGCAGTCAAAGGATGTTCAGCCTGAGTTGGCAGTGCGGCTGCTTGGAGAGGACAGTGTGGTGGTGGACAATGTGGTGTCCCTCTCTATGAGCATGGCACACAGAGGACAGAGCTCAGTGTTAGGAACTCCTGGGTTCCCATCCCAGTCCTGTCACTGGGCTGCTCTGGGCACACAGCCTCCCTGTGCAGAGCCTTGTGGTGTGAGATGGTGGTGAACTCAAGGGGGGTTTCGTGGGTTAAAACAAAGGCACATGAGAGCTGCGACCATGAGGCTTGACCTGCCCTAGCCCAAACACAGAGGATTCCCTCCCAGGGCTTCTCTGCAGTTGAGAGGCTGAAAAGGAGGCAAGTTTCTGGTAGGAGTGGTGGCTTGGGAGTCTTATGAGGAGCATCATGATTCCTTTTTTCTTGCAGTACTAGAGATGGTCTCAGGTGTCACACATGCTAGACAAGCCTTCCACCACCAAGCTATATCCCTGGTTCTTTTTAAAAATTTTATTCTGAAATAAGTTCTCACTGTCTAACCCAGGTTGGCTTTGGACATGCAATCTTCCTGCCCCAGCCTTCTGAGTAGCTGCGACTACAGGCATGTGCCACCACGCCTGGCTATCATGATGCTTTTTGTGGGCTTAACCTGGGACTCAAACAACAGGGGCAATTTGGGGCTCACAGGATGTGGTAAAAGACCACAGTACCTAGCAGTAGGGATGTGTGGGTAGTGAGCTCCCTGCCCACCAGGGAGTTCAAGGAAAGACACCATCAGGGCAGGCAAGTTCAGCCAGGCTGACAGAGCAGCAGCCCCCACCTCCTAGGCACCTTCTCTGCGTCCTGCTCATGAAACTGCTGCCGCTACTGCTCCTCTGGGACCCCACAGCCTGCACTGCCTCTCTCTGGCTGTGGACCTGGGCCTGATCAGGGTTCTGTGTGATCACAGGCAGGCAGCCTGGTCTTCCCTCACCAGGAGAGTGGGGATCTGTGCCTATGTATTCCACAAGCTCACTGCAAGAACCCTAGAACGAGGTACCCCAGGGCCTTGTGCACAGCACAAGCTCACAGTAGCTGCTGGATGAATGCTGGTACTCAGGCCCCTCCTACCCACTGCTGTGTAACCATGTGAAGTTCTGACCCAGGGGCACCCTCTCTGGCCCACCAGCATCCCTGCCGAAGGCAGGAGATGCCCAGGAGAGGCCCAGGAGAGGCCCCAGCTGGGGCCTTGCTGGCAGATCAGGGCACTGGCTGGTGAGAAAGAGTGGCAGGTTGAAGAGGCTATAGATGCTTCCCCTTCTCCTCAGAGGGGCCCAGTCTGATCTCCCACCCTTGAGCCTGGTCACCCCTGGGCACTGCTTGACTGTGAGGTGTGCACAGGTGGTTCTGTGCCAGCTGTGGGCCAGGACTCAAGGGTCCACCTTGTTCTCTTGCACCTCTAAGGCCACTGTGCTGCAAGAAAACCCATGCCACACAGAGAAGGCCTAAGTGGTCCGCTGGTAGATCACTTGGAGGAGCTGCTGGCCAGTGCCAGAATCTACGGAGGTCTGAGTGAGCGGATCACTGGGAAAAAACCTACTAAAGTTTGAGTGAGTGGATCACTGGGGACATCTGGCAGACAGTGTCCAGCCTGTGTCTGCAAGTCTGCCCAGGAGAGCCTGCCAACCCGCAGAATGGGAGGTCAAAACAGACGGTGGTGCAAAGCTGCCTTTGTCTGCAGGGGCGTGTCCCACTCTGTCACACCAGGCCTGGGCTGCTCAGAGTCAGGTTTGGGACCAGCTTTCCACTTCTCTGGCAGAAGGAAACCACTGAGGAGGGGCAGAGCACGGTCCCTTCACTGGGCCTTAGGGCTAAATGTCCCCAGACTCCATCACCTTGTACCCTGACTCGAAGGCCTGGGCTCAGATCTTGATTTTACTCATAGCTGTAAGGTGGAGCATCAGGCTCTAGTGACACAGGGGACAGCATGGGTCCTCAGTCACGTGCAGCACTGGTGGGAAGGATAAGGAAGGAGCAGGACTTGATGCTGGCCTGAATGTCTGACTTGGCCTCACTGTGACCTCTGGAGCCTTGGTGCACATTTATGCAATGGGCTGGACCCTCCTTCCTGTCCTCACAGCCGGCTCGTCCCCCTTTAGGCCTCAGTGTATTGTAGATGTCCCGGCTCAGGACAGCCCTCGCTGGCCACCCCACACCAAGCTTGACAGGCTGAGCAGCACGGAGGGTCCTCTGCTGCCCTCAGCCTTCCTGGGACATGGGCTGCAGCAGGTCTCCTCCCTGGGTGCACAGGAGGGGCCCCAGTTGGGGGAGTGAGTTACTGAACTAAAGAGAAGCCCCTGCTGGCCTGTGCTTGGGGGGAGGGGCTCCCAGTCCTGTTCCTGCTCAGGTTTTCAGCTCATACCTCCTTTGTCCTTACTGTGACCTGGGAGAAGTGGACTCGAGTAGGCTGGGGAGGGTGGGCGAGTGGGCACCTGTGTCGAATGCTGGTCAAAAACTCTGTCAAAGATGAAGGTGCGCTCCCGGGACCGGTGTGCACGCAGGGTGTCCTCGGGGTCCTCACTAGGGTCCATGAGTACAACTGCCTGAACAGGAGGGGCAGGAGAAAGCTGGTCAGACCCTTCCCTGCCCTCCCAAAGAAACAGGCCCAAGCTTCAAGTTGAACCAGGGCCAGGGTAAGACGTGGATGTTAGAGGAGCTGTGGGCCTCTGTGCTGGAGTCCACCAACCTAGCACCCACTCTGGTCCTCTTGTGCCAGGCAGCAGCTCCTGCTCCTGCACCCCAAGGCAAATGTGAGCTCCCCAGCATGCTGGGCTCTGCTGCCACATTCCCAACACACCCACAATATCTCTGACAAACCACGGCTCCTCAGGAGGGCAACTGGAACAGGTCGCCTGACACTACAGACCAGTGTCAGCAGCAACTCCCCTGGGGCCTGGGCCCCACAGTGACAACCAAAGAGAATCAACCCTGAACCAATGAAGACGGGAGGAGGAACTTTGTACACTATGGGTGCTGGGCTGGCCACCCACTGCTGTGCTCACCCTACGCAGCCCCGAGGATTTTCAGGGGGCGAGGGATAGTTCACGCACAGGAAGGGAAAACCAACCCTCCATTGTGGCTTTGTTCCTCAGGGCCTGGGGTCCCTGCGGTGTCTCCCACCCCATAGGAATATGCAATTATAAAGCGAAGTGTAGGAGGCTCTCTGGGGACAGAGCACTCAAGGGAGACCTTCCTAGGAATCACTATACACCCTGCCTGGTGGGAACTCATGGACTGGCGGGCCCTGGGAGGACCACAGAGTTGGGGAGCATGGCAGGGTGGCACCACAAACATGTGGTATGGCTACCAGCTCGTCTCCTTTAGTCAGAGCTTTGGAAACTGAGGTCCTGTGGGCCAGAGTCTGGAGCAGTTCCTGAGGAATCAGTGGCAGCTGCACCCAGGTCCCCAAGGCTGTTCCTGGCTGCTGGCCAGCTCTTGTTCCATGACGTGAGCTGACTCTGTGCTTTTCTTTTCCTTCCAAGGCCAGGAGGGCTATAGGATGAGAGGACACAGGGGCCGCCCTGTGTGTGCTCACGGTGGGCCAGGCCTGTGCTGTAGGACCAACTGGAACGGCCTCCAACTCAGAGGGCCATGGAGGGGCCAGTGGAGCTGGTGACCATACCAGGGTTCTGGAGCCCTGAAGCCAGGTTTCCAGCTGTTCCATGGTCACCAGACAGGAGGCCTCAAACATGTCACTGTGCTCCAAGCCTCAATTTTCTCCCCTGTTAAAAGGCAGTGATCATAGAATCCGCTGCCAAGGTGCTGAGAGGGGTGAATGGGACAGCCCCTGAGTCCTGGGCCCTCAAAAAGTTATCAGCTGCATTGGATGTGAGCTCCAAAAATACTTCTTTCTTTTGTTATAAAGAAATTATTGAAGCCAGGTTCAGTGGCACATGTTCTGCAAGCCCAGCACTTGGGGAGGCTGAGGCACGAGGATCACAAATTAAAGCCCAGTCTGGGCAATTCAGTGACTTAGTGAGATCCTGCCTCAGAATAAAAATTTTGAAAAGGGATTGGGGAGAAAGCAGTCAGTATGCAGGGGAGAGGGTTATGTCAGGTCATGGTTAGGAAAGCTTACAGTAAGATGTCAACATCTGGAAAATCCAGGTGCAGGAATATGGGGGGCTCTATAGTATTCTTGCAGCTTCGTAGTTGGTCTGAAGACATTTCAAGATCAAAGTTAAAGGAAAATGTAAGCATGTCACAACACAGATGAGCCTCAGTAACAACAGGCTACATAGAAGCTACACGCAAAAGGCCACATACTGTGGGTTTCATTGATATGAAACATCCAGCATCCAGGTAGAAAGCAGACCGGTGACTGCCAGGGGCCAGGCTGGGGGATATGACAGCTTAATGGGCGTGAGGTCTCTCACTGGGTGACCAGCAGAGTGGAATACACAGTGAATTTGTGTGGTATAAAACATAGCCTGCCATTCTGAAGACTGAGCTGGCTTCCTACAGCCCTGCCCTGCCTGCTGGCACCTGAACGATGGCCTCATCTTTGGGGTGTACTACCCTGTTAGAACATGGGCCCCATGTGCTGTTTCTGTCAAGTCTCGTCTCCTTCCTTGATGCTGCCAGGTGATGACAGCGCCATCTCCAGCACGGACTGTCACATGTGAATTTCAGCAGAGCAGCACTCAGTGTGCCCATGTTAGCCCTCTGCACTGCAGATCCTAACCACTGTCCTGTCCGGCTTAGCCTTCCATAGCCTCTGTGCTGCCCTCCCCTGGCTTCCCCATCCAGTCATCTTCCTCCTGACCTACCAGATAAGAACGAGGTGCTCCTGTCCCCGGGGCAAGCAATCACAGGGATCTCCCTCCACCAGCATCGTGAGCCTTCTATCCTGAAGATAAACAACCTCCCCAGAGCCACATTTCACTCTTACTTACTGAAGACAAGCAGGAGAATCCAGCCCACCGAGCACTTCTCCCCCTAGATTCTGCATTTATTCTTGCAAGTGACAGCCAAGGACAATGCTTCCCTGTGAGTAACTAGGCGCAACCCCCAGGGCTCTGCCAGCAGATCTAGACCTAGACCTGGACCTACCAGCTGTGTCCACTCCACCTCTCCTCCTGCTCTCAGGGCTCCTGAGGCCAAGCTGGCCTGACACATAGCTGAGCCCAGCTCCTACAGTTTTCCACATTCCTGCTCTGTTCCAGGGTCCCACTATGTCCTCCTACACCACAGCAGTGGGGTGGGGGGCATCATCCTGGCTCTACCCATGTCAGAGCATGTGGTAAATGAGGAAAGCATGCACTGTAACAGAGCCTCACAGCCACTCTGCCATGGACACGTCTCCTCTCTCTCCCTCACCTGGTCCCCTACTTTGTGGGCAATGATGGTGGCTCCTTCCTCCAGTTCAGCCTCACTGAGTGGGCGGATCCGAAGCGCCACCTGTGGGTAGGACACACACAGCACGTTCACAGGTGTCCTAAAACAGTCCCTCTCCTCAAGACTCCAAATCTCTGCCTTGCTCTTCCTCTTGGGGAAGGAGTGAAGGGCCAACCCTGAGCACCCCTTTGTTCTGTCCTAACTCCTCAACACTCGCACGAAGGTGCTCATGCCTCCCAGCAATGCTTTGAGGAACACAAGCCACTGTCACCTTCACTGAACACATGGGACTTTGAGGCATGGAGAGGTGAATTAACTTGCCCCAGGCCACACAGCTGCAGAAGGAACTTACCACCTTGCCCAGTATTGACCACCAGAAAGAGTGCGCACCAAGCTTAGCTCATCAGGCCAGCACAGAACACTTTGGGAAGACACCAAGAGGAAAACTGTAGGACTCCATTTTCTTTATCTGGCTCCCCTTTATCAAGGGAGCCTACAGAGACCCCTGGGGTTAGATGATACATGAACTGTAGCCACACATGCTGGTCTTTAACTGACTGGACTACAGGCTTGGGGCAAGTCCCTAGCTCACCCAAAGGCCAACCAAACTAAGGATTCAGGCAGTAGGTGCCTGGCATCTGGCATCCTAGTGTGGGCCCTGAGGTTCCTGAAAAAGGATGCTCACTGGGCAGGGGATGAGGAGGGGGTGGTAGGTTACCAGGTCCCAGGAAGGGAAAACCAAGGAACAGACCCGCCCTGAGGGTGCTTGGCTGAGAATGCCCAGCAGAGGACAGGTAGCTGGGACAGGGATACACTCACCATGAGCTGTTGGTCCTTGGGCTCCATCTCCCTGAAGGCTGGGCTTCCCCCGGATGGGGAGAGGTCGGTGGTGCTCTGGGAAGGCATGGTGCCAGCCAGGATAGACCCCTGCTACACTCGTTGTGGTGTTTCCTGCTATCCTGGCAGAGGCAGAGGCAAGGAGATGTATCTCAGTTCACCTCACCCAGCCCCATGACATCAGCTGAGTCCTTGGGGAGGGGAAAGCCAGGGCCATTGAGAGCTTGTTTACAAACCTGATGTCACCTCTAGCCCTCTCAGCAGTCAGAACAGCACACTCACAGCTAAGTGGGTCCCAGGCATGGGAGCAGACCTGATTTCGTCCACCCACAACAGCCACAGCTGGGAGAACAAGGCAGCCTTCCTGCCTGTGCACCCAGCTGTCATGGCAACCTGGGTCTCACGGGCCTCTCTGTGCACTGCTGAGCCCACTTGCCACCTGCCCTGCACATGGACTAAACCTGTCCTTTGCAGTGTAGAGCCCTTTCCTCCCACCTTGAGCCAAAGAGGAGGAGCTACAGGGTCACCGGAGATGTTGTCTACTGCTGGAGCCACTTTGCTATCTCAGGTCCATTGTCTTAAAGCTTTCTCGTTTGAGGGAACAAATAGCAAATGCTGTCAAGTTAAACATCTTGTAAAGTTCTTTTCCAGATACCTAAGATGACCTGTTTGGTGTATTTAGATGCAGTGTGAGTCTTTCTCTAAGTCTTTCACACTCATGGCCTGATCCATCAGGTGTACTTGCTGCTGGGCTCTTTTCACTGTAACCCTGGAGGACAGCCCTGCTCCAAGAATGTATACAGCCTGGCATGCAGGTAGCAAGGGTACAAGATCCAGAGTGATGTCCATAATGCTCTTGCAGTCTGACAAACTCACAAATCCTGGATCCAGGAATCCCAGACCTGAGCCCACCTACAAGGCTTCCAACTAGAGTTGCAAAGAGGGTAGAGAGGCAGAGTAGAGTTAGACTCACACAAGGTCACTAAGCTTGCAGGCTCTCATCCAACAGGAAGGATCCAGCCTTTCTTGGATCCAAACTGGCCAGTTTAACTGTATAAAGCCAGCACTGTGCTTGGTCAATCCTCCTCCACTGCTGGTGTCCAGATCAATGCTGAGCATCAGATAGTCCTTGCCACCCCTCCACTTCCCACATCCCTGACTCCTTCCCTGAGAAAAGTAAGGGTGGGTGTTGGTGTGGGGGGGGAGCGCCTGGAGAATCCAAGTCTAGGGTTCCAGCACTCTCCTAGACAGGCCTCGAAGGCAGTCCTGAGCCCTACGACACCCACCCACTTGCTCAGGAGCCACACACAAGTCAGGTAAGGAACTTCCCCTGCAGGAAGCTGCCCTGGAGAGTCCATCTCTATGGAGAAGAGAACACCAGTTTCAAATTGTTTTATTTACAAATCAGGTAATTACATTTGAGTTTAGAACAGTGAAACACTTTTGAAAGCTATTAAAAAAATCTGTTATAGAATTGTATGCTTTCTTCTCACTGCCATAAGCTGGACACACACATTTAAAGGACACGGGAATGACCAAGAATGCTATAAAAATGTGTGCTAAAGGGGACAGGACTCCGACAGTGACAGTATCAGAGGAACTAGAGGAAGAAGGGCCAGAGATCAGGAGAAAGGACAGCACCAAGTGTCCCTCACTGGAGGGGCCAGCCAGGACAGAGGCCCTGATGAGCCCAGGGCACAGCCTCATCCCGAGGACATCCGCACAGCATTCCAGGGGCTTGTCAAGGGCCACACTGGGCTTTGTCCCCTAGCCCAAGGCTTTAGACTGTTCTGGGAGTTCCAGTGGGCCTTGGGCCTCCCATGTCCTTGGCCACTGATCCTCAGTGCCCCTTCTGTGCCTCCAGCACCATGAGATGCAAGGGAGTTGGAGGACCAAAATGCACAGGGCAGACAGTGGCAGCACTGCGGGCAGGATTGAGCCAACACCAGAGGCTGCTCCTGCCCCTCCCAGACAGCGAAGGGAACACTCGAGATGACACAGTGCCTGAACTGAGCCTCACCACAAACTTTCCACCTTGCCTAGCTGCAAAGTTCAAGGGGTTTCATCAGATAAAATGACATGTTTCTTCACAGAAAACAAAAATGCAAGCAACTCCACTGAACTCTGTGGACTAACTCATGGCCAGAGACGGCACAGTAGGAGCAGACTCCACAAACTAGCTGTCATGAGGGTCCCCACAGGGCACTGTGAGTGCCGGGAGGCAGAAGGTACCATGCCTAGGCTGGCCAAAGACCCTTACCACTGGGGAGGGAACAGGCACCAGGGTCAAGGCCACGTTCTATGTGCAAACAAAGGAGAAAGACAGCTTGTTCATACAGGTTTGCTTTATTTCCACGGTCAGCCTGCTGAGAAGACCTGCCACTCCCAAAGGCAGGCGCAGGCAAGTGCTTCCTGGACAGCTGTTGGGTGGCTCCCAGTTGGTCTTCAGGATGCACCTGACACAGCCTACACAGAGCCAGTCCTCCAACACAGTAACCAACCACTCAGCTGCAGCATCCCTGTAAACACCACTACAGCAGGACAGTACCTACAGGAGCACTGCAGCCGGAGTCCAGGCGCAATCGTTGCGGTGGTGACATCCAAACAGGAAAAAGTCAAAGCAGTGCCCCAAAACTGCCCCCTGTGGATGGACACCAGGGGCTAAAGGCACAAAATCATGTCGAGATGGAAGGATCCCAGGTGTGCTCACAGTGGAGTGAAAGAAAGCACAGGTAAAAACCCAGGAGCTGTGCGGGCTTTCTGCAGGAGAGCCTTGGCGCCAGGGCCTGGCACAGTGACCTGAAACATGAATCACTGGTTACTTTACATCCTGCTGCGAAGAGGACCCACAGCAGCAGCACCCGCCTGAGAGCAGGCACGACAGCCGTGGCACTACAAGGCCAGGAGAGTGGGAGAGCTGCTTCAGTCTCAAGGACCACAGTGACCTCCGGTGTGCAGCCAGCCTCGAGTCCACAACTATTCGGCCCAGAGAGACCAGGCAGTATCTGAGCATTTCCGGCCACATGGCTGAGCCCTCTCTATCCCAGAGGGCCCTCGGAGCCCTGGATGTCCCTGCTGTGCTTCCACCTCAGAACTGACTGGCATCAGCCAACACAGGCAGTCACCGCTGTTGTGCCCACTCTCCTTCCTGGAAGGTGTCTCAAGGCTGTCCCCTGGCAAAGCTCCGTGGAGCCAGCCACGCCTGCCATTGCCTCTGCCCTGGCACTTCACACCAATCACCAAGGTCTCCCTGGCCACAGCTCCTCCTTAACCTCAGGCACCTGCATATCTACCAATGCTACCTCCTGACACCCAGGAGGGGCTCTGCACACCCTCGAACATCCCACACACCAGACTGTACCAGCCCTGCAGCCCTGGAGCTGGCCTCTCGATCTTACACAGGTATCTGTTACTTGGTGGCCCAGTGAGGCAGCGAGAAACCCCAGTTCACAGGTGCTCCCTTGGGGCGAGGGAGTTTGTTTCTCACCACAGTGCTCTGGTCATTCCTGGTTCCCAAGGGGAATGATCTCCTCTGTGACAAAGAACTCGATGGTCTCCTCCTCCCAGTCATCCACATTGCTGTCCAGTTCATCTGTGTCCACTCCTGAGAAGTGAGAGAGAAGGCTGACTCTCGGGTGGATCCTCACCAACAGGGCCCAGTGGGATGGGTAGCAGGCTTTGTGCCCAGCACTGGCACACAGCAGAGGGCACCGCTCCTCTCTGCACAGCCTTAGAACCTGCCAGTTACCTCCTCTCAGCTCTAAACGCTCATTCTTCTGCTCCATGTAGCGCTCCTGGGCCATCTTCCGGTATTTCCGGAAGTCTTCCATCATGGTTCTCCTCCTTTCCACCAGTTCCTATGGACAAAGTGCAGAGGCGTTACAGAACACAACTCCCATCAGCAAGCTCTCAATGCAGAGAAGAACGTCCTTCTGCAAGGATCCACACCTAATCAGTGGATAACCCAACAATGCATCCAAACAGGGATACTCAGACCTGGGGGTGGTGGTGCACACCTATAATCTCAACACTTTGGGAGACTGAGGCAGGAGGAATAAAAGCTCAAGCCCAACCTGGGCAATTTAGTATGACTATGCAAAAATAAATAAATAAATACAAAATATGGCTGGGGAAATGCAGTTCAGTGCAAAGGTCCTAGGTCCCATCTCTAATACCACAAAGCAAAAATAAAATAAAATAAAAAATAGAAAAAGACGCTCAGGGTGGAACTGTGTGCGGGATACACTTGTTCCCATGTTCCTCCTCGACATAACATCCCACCACCACCACTTATGTAACTGAGAAGATAACGCCAACAGATAGAGCCAGTCAGGCCATCTGTTCCAGGACCAGGACTGGTCTCCAGTTGCCCCTGCTGGTCCACCCCACAGACAGGGAACATGCTGGTGGTGAGGAGCAGAACTCTCCTCGCTGCCCAACACTGGCCTGCCTGTGTCATGCCCCGGACAGCAGCTGCCTTCAGCTGCCCTCTCAGCCCCCACAATCAGGCTCACCTTTGAGGCTTTGGACTGGCTCAAACGGTCCTTCTGCTCAAAGATCTTCGAGTATTTCTTCAGATCCTTTTTAATTTGCTGAATCAAAGACAAGTCACTCAGATTAACACTCAGAACAAGAACTACAAACACAACTTTCAGAGTCTCTGTCCTCAGTGATCAGAAGATCTCTGAATGCAGTCCTGTTGTCCCTTGTTTCTGAGTTCACTCCATGGAGCAGCAACTCTGTCCTGGGCTTCACACTCACTTCTTCACTTTAGCCAGGTACCACTGGCCTACTCCCCAAGAGCCATGTCTGCATGAGTCCCCAAGGCTGTGTTCCAGCCCCAATCCATGCAGTCCTTCCAGGCACAACCTCTGGGTCATCCTGACTACCCTGAAGCTCCTCTTCCCCACTTGCCCACCTTGCATTGCCAGGAGTACTAAAAATGTCTCACTTCTATTCCCCAGTCACCACCACCACAGTGGCTTCCACACCGCGAGCCTGAAGAGGAGCTCACACCTTTATCTGTTCCTGGCTGAGAAGTGTCGGAGGCCGAGGTCTCCACAGCAGCTGACAGAAGCGGTCCTTGTTATTCTTTTGCAGGAGGCGTCCCTGGAATGTCCACAGCCAGTAGGCATTGTCCACCTACAAAATAGCAGGGGGAACCCTGAGCTGCTCTATCAGGTCACATGAGACTAACATCCTAGAGCCTCGGCTGGCAACACAGCAGCCACTGCATCTGCCAAAGGATTCCCTGGGCGTTTGAGAGACAGCAGGGAACAACCCGGGCAACTTATTGAGACCCTGTCTCAAAGTAAAAAATTAAAGATGTAGTTCAATGCAAAGGCTCTGGGTTCAATCCCCAGTAACACAAAAATGAACCCCCTCAAAAAACAAACAAACAAATCAAAAAACCAGCCAATACCCACCCCCCAGCAAAAATAAATACACAAAAAAACAAGCAAGAAAGCAAGAGAAAAATAACCCTATTCAAGACACTATTCCCAGGGTATCTACAAAGTGGGTGTTCCTAAAAACTCATTGTCTTCACTAAACAATTACTCTATGTGATCTCACAGGTACTAGCTGCATGAACTTGAACTGTCAACATCTCCTTCCCCGCACTCTCTGAAACACCAACCGCTGCTCTTTGGAAGTCAGAAACAGGAATGCTGACATACTCTGACAAGCTAGACAGGCGCAGGAAGGAAAGGCCTGTGCTCCTTCCCTGAGGGTCCTGCACACCACCACCAGCCCATAAGGCCAGTCTGATGCAGCCATGGCTACTTGGGTCTTTCACCTTACCTTATGGCTCCACCAGGACACAGAGGTGACCACATAGCGTCCAGTGGGGTCCCATTCAACATCAGAGGCCATGTAGTGCTCTGCGATGTTCATGACAGTGCAGTCTGAGGTGTCAACGAATGCCAGGGCCCCATTCATGCTGTGGAGATAGCATACAGTTAAACCTCCCACATTTCCATAAAGACCAGTGTCCCAAAACAGACCAAGGAGCAGGCTGTGGGCTGATAGCACCCAACCTTCTGCCACAGCTGCAGAGTTTATACAGAACAATCATAGTGACATTCTCGGAAGGAGGGTGTGACACAGGGAACTCATATACAAACAGGGCACATAAGGCTCCATGCATTGTGATCATTGAAGAAGTGTTATGGGAGGCTGGCCAGCCCTCCAAAACTATAGCAGTGAGTTTGCAACAGAACAGAGAACTCAGAGGCAGTGTCATATGGCTCCACTTTAAGCTAGAACAACAGAAGGAGAGAGACATTAAGCTCTCATCTTTATACCAATCACAGCAGTAATGACAGTCACCCAGCTGTCTAGTTAAATGCCTGCCCTGGTAGAAGACTCAGAGTTTTCCAAGAGGACGGCCAGCAAGATCTTTTCTAAGTGCAGGGGAACATCTGTAAGAGCTTTCAAAATTCCTCACCCAACTCTCAGCCCTGTGATGGATACACAATGGAAAGACAATGTCCCATTCTCCCCAACAGAGCCTCAAGGAATCAGAGCCCTGCTGAGACCCAGCAGAGCCTGGCCAGCACGTGGCTGCAGCTGGCAGAGACGCTGGGACTCACCTCCTCAGACCAGCTAGCACAACGAACTGCCCTTGGGGACTCCAAAAGATGGTGTTTGCCTGCTGCTTATCGAACATTTCTGGAAGGAAAAAAAAGTGCTTGTGAGTCTGTGCCACAGCCAAGATGCAAAGTTCCCTAGGGATGGTCTGGTAAAAACAGACTTACAGCTGGGACCCGCTGACTCATTAACCTGACCAGTTACCTCTGAAAACTACTTCAGAAGGCCTAGCATTTAGGTACAGTTTAGGTCATGAGCCACACTTAAAAGAGGAATAAAAGGGAGCACAAGGGTCCTTTAAAGCTAGAGTACTTTCTTAAAAAACTTCCCAAGCCAAGTGAACAAAGGGCCCATCATCCACAGTTAAATGTCGTACTTATCATGCCTAGAAGTCCATGCTGCCTATCAGCTAATCCGGGACATGATCCCAACAAGAGCATGGGCTCCTCTAGAGACTCCCAATACCTTTTTTCAATTTTAAGGTCACAGAAACTAAGTTTATCATCTTTCTACACATGCTCATTCTCACAATTAAGGATAGTTCCTGCCTGA